AATTGGGATGGTTTTAATCTGGGTTGTTTGATTTTATTGTCTGTGATAGTACGAATAGCAATTTTGAAGAAAACAAGACACCATAATAGCTAGTGCCGATTTAATATCATCTTGTCTTGAAGTTCCATCAAGCTGTTGTTCGTTGGTTTCATGGGTTTCAACATGTTGTATCTTGTTATATTTTACTATATGTGATAGTATAAACAAAACTTTTTATAGGCAAAGAGATAATATAGAAACCGTTGTTCATTTTCTGTTAGCTGGTTCTAAATACCCTGTAATTCTTACATTCTCTTGAATGACTTCACACTGTCTTGATATGTTTGATGCTATAACATATGAAGTTATACTCAAATAATTCAAGGAAAGAGGCACTATGGTGACTACTATTATGTCAGGTTATCTGGTGCTGAAACACAATGATGCTTAAGTTGTTCGGTTCTGACCTGTGTTGTTCTGTTACTATGTCCTCTTTTATCTCAATCTCCCACTTTTTAAAAATTAATTAATTTTTTTAATTTTTTAATTAAGGGAAAACTAAATTTAAAAATAGCAGGATATATTACAGTAACTTTTTTGTTTTCCTATTAACCTGATTTGAACCCCAGTATTGCTCTCTCCATCTTGTTCTGTCTGATTTTATTATAGTCTGTTTTGTTTGATAGTATCAAGTTTGAGAGTATAGGCAACCACTTTGAAGGCAATAAGATTTACTATGATGCCCATTATGGCTTGACTATTATCCTCTTTTGAAGTCCTGTAAGGTCTCCAGTGTAGTTTTTATTGGTCTTGTTCTGTACTGTTTTGTTCAGTTCTATTATACCTGATGATATAGGTAACTCTTTTCAAGATAGCAAGAGGCATAATGGTAATCATTTTTGATCACCAGGTATTCTATTTTTGCATCATATACTATGTCCATCCTTTTTTTCTAACTGACTCTGTTTTGTTTTGTCACATTTGGTCTTATTCTCTTAAAAAAATGTAATAAGAACAGTGGGAGTAATAAAATCCAAAAAGTGTAATTGTTAATGTAAAAAAGAGAGGAAAAGAAAGTGGTCTAAAGGATATAACTGCATGTATATTTAAGAGTGTAGGATATAAAACCATATTACTGAGTTTTTGTTGGATCATTGAACAGAACTGTCTGCAATCTCACTGTATGAATGTCCACTTTGTATGCTTTAATTTTGTAATTTGGACAACAATTTCTAAGATGACAATATGTAACCTATTAACTAGTGATTTCTTACTGTATTTTTTTTTTCTGGAAATTCTGTACTACTTGTACCCTTTTACTACTGGTTTTTTTTTTTTTTTTCTCTCTTTTAAAAAAAAAATAGAGTCAGGAATTTAGCTCAGCGGCATAACTGCCTGCCTGGCAAGCTCGAGGTCTGATCCCTGGTACTCACCCCCCCAAAAAAAAATTCTTTGTAGATCTCTGATGATACTTACATTTGCAAACTGAGGCTCGGTCTATTATACATATCAAAGAAGAACAATATTCACAGTACGTAGGGATGCTATATTGAGTGGCCTTGAAGACATGACCATTGTGCTCTTCCACCTGGGTGAAAAAAAGTCATCTGTTTATCTTAAAGCCAATGCACTAAATGCTTCCCTAATATGGTCAGCACATGAGAAACCTTCCAATCCCTTCCAAAGTTGTCACTGGACGCTTATGCTGGAGGGAGAACTACGGTCTTCTGAGAAATAAAATTTATGGTTCTTGTTTTCAACAAGTTAATGAGATTGATAAGTATGACCAATTTATATGAAAAGCAAAACAATGCAAGCAACACAACTGCCATCTTATGTAACTGGATCCGCCCCGTCAGTTCAAAGCAGTTCTCGCATCTTTTTCTTTTCCCCAGGAACCTTTCACACTGTGAAAAATTACTGATGACCTCAGAAGACTTCTGTTCCCTGAGAGCTCTGGTACACTAAAAATAAAGACTGAAAAACTATGAAGGTATTTTTTCATATACTCACTGAAAATTAATAAATATTACAGTTTAACGTAAGTAATGCTGTAATGAAAAACTGTTCTCTTTTTGAAACACAAACAGCAGAGCAAACAAGAGTTCTACATTTTTATAAATTGCTTGAACATCTTGCTTACTGAAACACATCCAGACTCTGCTCCATTTCTGCCCTCAATCTACTGCAGTGTATAACTGAGTTTGAACAACATGAAGAAAATCCAGCCTTATACAGATAGGAAACTGGAATATTTTAATAGTTCTTTCAGACACTGATCCTAGGGCAAAACTTAACAAATTCAAGTTTAAAGATTAATTAAAATATGAATAGAGGAAGGAAAGAAGGGTAAAGGAGATGAAGAAAATAATTTTTTTTTTAAAAGGACTGGAGAGCGCCCAGACTCAAAGGAACCGCTGGGCTAAAGCCAGTCCCTGAAGAAAAGAATTTAAGAGGCATTATATACATGTGCCAACTCCCTATGATGAAGGCAACCATTATCTATTGCCAATCTGTACAGGTAAAAATTTTAAAAAGAATTTTAAAAGGAGGAGGTTTTTCTTGAACTTTATCTTTCCATTAGAAGAAATGATGGAGCCAGGTCTGGTGGCACACACCTGTGATCCCAGCACCTGGGAGACTGAGGCAGGAGGATCACTGTGAGTTCAAGAGCAGCCTGGGCCACATAGCAAAACCCTGTCTCAAGAAGAAAAACATAAAATTATTAAAAATTAAACACTTTGTCTTCTTTTGAGACAGGGACTCACTATGCAGTTCAGGCTGGCCTTAAACTCACTTTGTAGCCCAGGCTGGTCTTGAACTCACAAAGATTCTGCTGCCTCAGCCTCCTGAGGACTGGGATTACATACAGGTGAGTGCCACCACACCTAGCTGGTAAAAAGATTTTTACGAGGAAGTGACAGAGATTCTCTTCTGCAAGCATACTGTACTGAGCTGGCTGGTGCTTACCTTTATTTGTGAAGGAAGACGAAGACCGAAGTCCTGGGGCAGGAGCGCCATCTGAACCAAGGCTGGATTGAGCTTCCCGTGGGACTGGACCCCTTGCACTTGGACTCTTGCTTGGGGAGAAACCAGCCAGATCTCCAGGACCTTGCACCCGTTCCTTTTGTGGCCTCAAAGGGACAGCTTTGACCACAGTCATTTTCCTGTTTTTTCCCCCCAATGCAGCAGCTGCAAGCCCTTTACCAGTTCTGAAGGCAGACTCTCCAGGCAGACAAGCACAAGCATCCACACCACATAAGACAATGACGTTTCAGCAGAGCACACTCCTGGATGCATTGACCGTATTGAATTATAATAATCTTTTAATAGCTTCAGGTTTATAATCCGAATAGACTCATCAGGATTTTCTTTAATGGACGTCGTAGCAGTTTTTAGGTGACTCATAAGAGATCTTGTACAATAATGTACAAGAGTCAGAAGGGAGAAAGAGAGCAAAGATATAAATTGTTCATTGGAATCTTTGTTATCCTTCCTTATTATAAAAGTCAGTCTGAGGCCCTGTCTTTTTTATACTCATGAAAGCTGGAATTGTGTTGAGAGAGTCCCTAGATTGGTGATTTACCTTAATCTTTGGGATAGCCGCTAGCGAAGTCCAGGCTGCTCTGGGCCCTCTGTATTACAGTTACTACGGGAAATGGTAGCTTTGATAACTACAGCTTTCCTGGTTGACATGTTCCCACCCCAGGGACAGGCCTGGGAGAGGTGCAATGTTGTAATTAGTGTTGCAATTTATGTTTTTCTCTGGTAACTGCCGTTCTCATTTCCCAGGGGGTCACCAGCCTATGTATGGGTGGAGCCACACACCAGGCAATGGTTTGTGTTTTTGTTTTTGTTTAGGGTTAAAGAAATCTTAGTTTTAATGTTCATTCCAAGGGGTGGGCAAAGTTGAGAATTCCCACTTTGAAAAATTAGCAAGGGGAGAAATCGGTCCCTACCTGTCCCTACTTCTCTTGTCTTGTGATCTCAGACCAGTCTGATGCCAGCAGTGGCTGCTGGAGCTATCTCAGGCTAGTGGGCAGGGCCAGTCCAGCCATGCTGGCATCTACACCCCTTTCCTCACTGTCCTGTGATCCAGCAGTTCTATTGCTCTTTCCTTTTCTCCGTAGCATATCTGAATATAGAAGTCGCCAGCCTGGCTCTACACTCCAGAGAGAAATCGTGGCAAGCGAGGGGCAGCCCTTGGGCACCCGGAGATGTGGCTATTGGTTCCCTTAACACTCATTTTGTCTGATGTTCCCGGGGACCCATAGGCTCCCTGCAAGAACATCCTGCTTTATTAATGGGATCACCTATGTCGTACTGGATCCCTTCACAAAAAGCCCATCAGTAACCCCCACCATTACCCAGCTGCTACTCCAAGAACTGAAAGACAATGGGACTAAAAGCTTTCTAAGGGTTGGCCTCAGGTCTCCACAACAAGAGAGAAGAAAAAGCAGCAGGAGTTGAAAACGTTGTAGTTGAGAGGCCAGGCGAGCAGCAAAGAAGCTCATCTTCATCGATACCTGCAGGGGGTTAATGGACAAGCTCACCCAAGGCCAGCAGGCTCAGGAAAGCAAGAGCGTCAGAGCTAAAACTACTCATGCATTAGCAGAGGGTCAAACCAGAAGGGAAACCGAGGCAGAGCAGGCTCCGAATTCCCTCCCGGGTACATGGGAGGGGCATCGGCCAGTGGAGCCTGTGCTGGAAGCTTGTGAAGTGCTTTCATTGGTTGACTAAGTCCTGTGTGCTTATGAGGCATAGTCCCCAAATCTACGCCATCATGCGGGAAATGACAGGAGGCTCCCTAATCAAAACTAGAGCCCAAATCTTTATCTCCAAAGCAGAATCACAGAACGTATAGTTACAGGGAAAAAAGAGATAATAAAACCTCCCCTTTAGGGTCTTACCTCCCTTCAATCTTGTATCTTAGCAGGGGCTTCCAAAATCGCAATGGCTAATTCTATACCAACCAAGCTCACAGTCTCACAGGAGTTGAAGCATAGAGTCACGAGCAAAAGGAGGATGTGAGAGTATTTATTGGACCTCAGAAACAGCTCCTGTCACCAGGAGGGGATTCTGAACGAAGTGCAACAGGCTTTCTCTGTGCTGCTCTCCTGGGAACAAGCAGAGCCTGGGGAAAAGCTTGTGCAGAGAAAATGAGTCCAGAGGAAACCAGTGATGCCACTTTTCTAATGCTTCTTGAAGTCCAGTCTGGAGGTAAGGAGGAACTGGCCACTTAGCACAGCCTGTGTAAGAACCCTCTTCCCGGGAGGCACGTCCTCCCTCGCCAAAAGAAGGTTAGTAACCTTCTTTTTCTTGCATTTTCTTCTATGTGTCTATAGTAAGTGTGTAGTAAGCAGCTTAGTGAATTTATACATACGGCCACCTTTCCTAACCTACTAGCAGACTCAAAAGAAAGGACGTTTCTATCAGCCCAGAGGGCTGCCCGGGCCCAGTCTACCCAGTGTCCCTGGCCGGCCTCTCAGCGGCAGCTGTGTCCCCACTTACAGCCCTTCACCCCTCCAGACTGCTCTTGACCTTTGTGGAAATAGAAACTGTGTCTGGCTTTTGTGCAACTTTCACACCAATGAAATGTATTCATGTTGTCCTCTCTATAACTAGCTCATTCTTTATGGATTTTCACTGTATGAATACAATACATATCCTAGATAATAATATACATTAGAATTCATTCCACCAGTTTAGCGCTGGGGCTAGTAAAAGTCACGCTGAATATTCTTTGTTTTTTTGCGGACGGTGCTGGAGGTTGAACCCAGGTCCTTGCATGTGCTAGGCTAGGGCTGTCCCTCTATACTAGGTTCCCTGACTCTGTATCTTTCGGGGCACATTTCAGCCAGGATCACATACCCTAAGAGTAGAATTTCTGGGTCAAAGGGCAGGAGGGCGCTTAGCCTCAGGAGATCTGGGAATGGCTGGAAACCTTTCTTCCATTCTTCCTAGTTTTTGAACATATCACAAAGCAGCTTCTCCATGGGGGTGTTCCCTATGGTCTTGCAGAAAAAGACATGCTCGATGCGCTCGGAGGTGAGGAACCTCAGAGAAGGGAGGAGCAGGAGCAGCTTCCCGAACCTGGACAGGGAAGAAAACACCATCAGCTTTACTCCCAGCTCCCAGGGCCCACTGGGAGAGTGAGGGAGGGGCAGAGCAGGGGGGAAGGGCAGGGGGACGGGGTTGTGTCGCTTATCACAAGTATTCCAATCGCAGGATCAGTTTCATATGTGCAATAAGAGCAGCAGTTCCTGCCTGGGAAACATCTTGGGGGAGAGTAACTGTGACTCCTAAAGTTGGAGTAGCCTATGGGTGGCTGAGCTTCCCAGAAAAAATTCATCATAGCTTTGAATCAAAACCATTTGCTAAAGAAAGGGTCCTTGGGGAGGGAAGAGGAGAGGAGGGACAGAAGAAGGTGATCAGACCTGCCCTGGGCAGAGGCTGTGGCTGGGTCAGTCTCACTGATATTTCTCCTGCCTCAGCCTCCCTGAGTGCTGGGATTATAGGCATGCGCCACCACGCCCAACCAGCTGTGTCTTTCTGACTGAGGGATGAAAGGAAGAAGAAACCGAAATGAGTTAAAAAATTCTTTTCTGCAAACTGCAGGTGTCAACTCAACCTGGTGTCTGAAATTATATTTAAAGCATCACAACGAGGCTTTAAAATAAAAATAAAGCTACACTTGGGAGTGCATGGCAGCACTCAGAAGTCTGAAGCAGGAGGATTGCCATGAGTTTAGGACCGGTCTGGGCTACAGAGCGAGATAGGGTGCCAAACAGAGCCAAAAGACGTACATAAAATGGAAATATCAGAGTAAATTGTATAAAGGGTGGGTATTATTGATGGAAATTTCCCTCAGCATCTATACAGCAGGCTTCAGGGAAAACTGCCTCTCCTCTTGGGTGCTGCAGTTTCAGAAAAGTGAGACATGCTGACCCAGAGAATCTGAGATCTCCATCTCCATACCCTCTTCCTCCCCGGGGTGGCAATGAGCGGCTGTGGAAGAGACACTGGAAGTCTTAACCAGCATTTTGAAATCTGCCCCAAGCCCGATGAGGCAGGCCGTGCCCAGGACCTGGGCCTGCTGGCTCTGGACTTCTGGCCTTAGTGCTCGCTTCCCTGTGCTCACACAGGACACGAATCCTCTTGTGCAAAAGGACCTAGACGCTGTATCCCTGGACTCCTCCAAAGGCAAAATGCTGCTTCTCCCTGGGCTCCTTCCTCAGCTGACGGTGCCTGGAGGCCGCCCTGCTACACCAATTAGTCAAGCTGCGTCCCAGTCCCAAGATGAAGATGGCCACGTCCCCCAATCAGATGCCTGGAGCTCCAGGAGGTCACGCCCACTGCACCTCTAGCATGCCTGGGGGGCACGATCTTGCCCGGCCTCACTCAGTCTGCAGCTGTCACCCTGCAGCCCCAGCCAGGACGCTCCTGTCCACCAAGCACCTCCCTCTTCCTCCGCAGGAGTCTCTCCTGCCTGGGCCCTGTCCTCGGCTTGCTCCCGTTAGTTAGTCTCCAAGCCACCCAAGGGCCAAACCCACTGGCTCTTGGTGTTCCTGATTCCAGCTCCTGCTCTCTGCTGAGATCAGAATTCAGCAGAGTCCTCTGCAAGTGGCAGCCTGCTGTGGCCCCCTTGGTACTCAGCACCACGCCCGGCACATGATACATTTCCCCCAAAGCCTGCCTCCGTCAGACCTGGCCTTTACCTGGTGTTCCAAGTCCTGGGCCAGTGGGGTCCGGGGCTTTCCTGACCCAGCATCCCTCTTCCTGCTGCGACCTATCTCAGACACTGTGCAGGCCTCTGCGCCTCTGTAAATGGTGAGCTATCTTCCACCAGCCCTTCCCTTTCTCTCAAGTCCCTCTCAGTCCTGTTCAAGGCCTTGCCTCCCACCCCTCACCCCACCAGGTCTCCTTCTGGTACTGGCCATGTCTCCACCCCGAGGCGGTCTTATCTCCCAGCACTCATTGGGCCCAGCGCCCCCAGAGGATGCAGCCTTGTGGCATGCACATCCTGGTTCCCTCTGAGGGCCGGGCTGTAGATGTTTGATAGCTGCTGCTCCAGCAGAGACTCCGTTCTGTCTAACCAGGAGCCCTGAGGTGGTGTGGGAGGGGCAGGTGGGGTACCTCATGGGCTGGCTGGGGTGATGGGCCTTGGTGTGCTGGCTCAGCATCATCTGGGACTGGTCCTGCAGGGCCTCCACGTGCTCGGGGTCCTTCAGGCCTGGCGTCTCTGGGAAGAGGCAGTGCCGTGAGCTCCCCTCCCAGGGTCTCAGCTCACCTTGTCTCTCACAGGCACCAGAAAGGGGCCTCTGGGGAAAGCAGCCAGGTCACATCCCCTGCTCCTCAACCCGCAAGAAGCCTGCACACGTGTCAGTGTGGAGGGAGCAGGCGAGCAGAACAAGTTACCCATGCTTCACCCGTTTCTTCTGCGAGGCTCGGCCTGAGACTCTACCTGGCTTGAAGAGGATCAGGGCCTTCATGCAGGCGAACTCTGTGGGGTCCACGGCCAGTGCCCGAAAGCGGGCCACAGTCTCCTGCAGGAAGCGCCGCTCTACGCTGGCCAGTGCTAGGCGGCCCTGAGAGCTGCCAGCCGCAGAGGCCTCGGCAGGGGCCAGCAGGGGACAGCTGTCCAGAGGCAGGGACCACTGGATGGCCCCGAGGAGGAAGAGCTCACCCCAGGCCTCTTCCAGGAGGATCACCTGTGCTCAGAAAGGGTGAGGGCATCATGGGGGCCACAACCTCTCTCTACTCAGCTTGGGCTCTGCATTTCTCCAGGGCAGGATGGGTGGTCGTGGGGCTTACAATGCTCTGGTTGACAGCAGCGCTAGCTGTGGGCATCCTCCAGCACCTCTACCTAGACCTCTGTGGGTTTCACCAAGAGTGGCAGTGGAGACACTTGAGAAAGCCTGGAGCCCAGGATGCAGGACGGCCTTGGAGACAGGCCTCAGACTGTCCACGCTGAAAGTGCTCAAAGCACTCCCTTCTGTGTTTTGGTGACAGTGGGAATTGGATAGTAGGGCTTTCTCAGTGGAGTGACAGCCTTCCCCACTCCTGTTATTTGAGACAGGTTCTAAGTTGCTAACTTACCAGGCTGGGCTCAAACATGGGATCCTCCTGCCTCAGCCTTCCACAATACTAGAATTATAATCCTGCTTCACTACACCCAGCTGGCCTGACTCTGAGCTGCTCTCTCCCAACACAATCTGCCCAAGCCTCGGCCTGCCTGCTGGTGTCTTCCTGATCTGTCACAAGAGCTTTGTTGCCTTTGAGAAGCCAGAGCACCCCTGCAGATGTGAAGAGTTTGGGATGATACTCATACCCTAAAGTCATGGGCCTGCAGATGGTTCTGTCCTGCACAGAATGTTCACAGGCTTGAGTGTCTGTCCAGGGAGGACACCCAGGAGGGCCAAGTCCTGGCACCTGTCCTGTGCATCCCTGGTTACTGTTATCCCTGATCCAGAGGCGTGTGACCCAGCAGTCACCACCCAAGTGAGTGCACCCCATTCTCCCTGCACAGGGGTGCATGGGTTCCCAGTCCAGCTGGCTGCACCGGCTCAGGAGCCCACAGCTGGCTAACCTGGTCCCGGAAAGGCAGGTTGGACAGCACTGGCAGGTTCTTGGCCCACTTGACTGCCATGAAGAGCAGGCGGGCCGATGTCTCCTGGACGCTATCCAGGCTGCAGGGTGACACTGGGAACTCGGGGTCGTTGCTGGTGACATCGATGTTCTCCTCTGCTGTTGGAGGAGGACTGTGTGACTCAGCGGCTTCCCTGTAGGAAGCAGCAGGGAGCCTGAGGGTCAGCAGAACCTGCAGTGACCGCAGCCCCTGCTGCTCACCATCTTCCGGCTCCAGCTTTGCACAGGTCTCCGCTGTTATGAGGCTGTCTAGGAACTGGTGGCTCAGGGCTCTGGTCACAGGTGTGGGCCCCCTGGCCATGGGCCCTGCCAGGGTCGGGGTGGCCGCCTGGAGCTTGGGCCGGGGCTCGCTTTCGGACTCGGCGCTGTCCAGCCGGACCTGGGCTGTGCTCCGGGGCTGGCGCTCATTCTGCACGGCTGGGGACATGGGAAGGGTCAGGATGCCGAGTGGCCACACCGCTGTCCTGCCGTCCTTACCTGCACGGCCACTCACCATCCTGGTTCATGCCGGCCTGCAAACACTTCTTCAGCCGGCAGGCCTGGCACTGGTTGCGATGTGCTTTGTCCACAGGGCACATCCCCATGCCCACCTGACACCTGCGAGGATAGGGCGTGTGGTCAGCGTCCCAGCTGGGCCACCAAGGGCTGGGGATGCAGCCAGCGGGTGCCCTCACCTGTAGATCAGCCCCCGCCGTACGCTGCGCTTGAAGAAGCCACTGCAGCCGTTGCAGGCGTAGATGCCATAGTGCTTCCCGCTACTGCTGTCCCCGCACACGCGGCACTGGAGCGCCGGGCCAGCGGCTGCGGCACAGCAGGGGCAAGGGTGGCTGCACTGGCGCCACTTATTTTTGGGTGAGAGAAGCTGGCCTCGAACTTGCAGCACTCTTCCTGCCTCAGACTCCCCACTGCTGGGATTACAGGTGTGACACCGAACCTGCTTCTGTCCCACTTGAGTGAGACCCAGCCCCCCTTCCGCCCCACCTTGTTAAGGACCCCAAGCGCCAGCCTCTGCTTCCTCTGTGGGTGGCATGAGACATCTATGGAAACATTCCCAGCATCCCCCTGGGGCCTCCCTACTGCTGTGCCCTCATGGTGCTGCTGGGTGCCCTGCTTCCCCTCAGAGTGGTCCTGTCCTGTCACCCCACGCCTCTGAGATTCTGGATCCCTCACTTTCCCCAACCCCCCCCCATAAGGGATAAGGCTTCTCCCCAAGGGTCCAGCCTCACCTCCAAGCAAAGCCATACCTGCAGGGTCCTCCCCCCGACCCCATTGGCCAGGAGACTCCTTCCTGGAGGCAGTCACAGCCACAGGCACAGTGGCAGCAACGTTGGCGCTCATGGGTGCTGTCGACCTGACCCTGGAAGGTCCTAGGGTGCTTCTGTGTCTGATTTCCTCTGTCTCTCTGTGTTCCTGTTTGCCTCTCTCTCTCCTGCCTGCTGTCCCTGTCTTCTGCTCAGGAGTGTTCCCAACTTCCTGAGGTCCCTTGCAGCAGTGGCTGTGCTCGGGAGATTTCTCCCAGGGCAGTGCTGGGTGCATTTTATGATCCTCTTAATCTTTACTGTCTCCTCAGGGATCAGCAGGCTGTACCTGCAGCGTCACCAAGGTGCCGCTGGGAGCTGGTTGGTCCCAATGTCCCCACACAGCCCCTGGGCTGCCAGTGCTCCCTGTCTCTTTGGCCTGTGCCCTCTGCGGTCTCCGTGGTGAATCCTGATGGCAGACGTGTGGACCCCACTCCCCTGGATGGGAACTGCACTGAAGACACAGCCCACGTCTAAGGCAGGGGACTCCCTTGGGTCCTGGGCACTCTGGCCTCTACCCTGGTGCTTCTCTCCCCAAGCGCCTAGTGTTTGCTCTATCTGGATTCAGCCCAGGGCTTTTGTCTGCACTGAGCTACACTCTCAGCTGCTTAGACTGTGTTTAGATTTGTAATCCTCCTGCCTCAACCTTCCAGACCAATCTTGATAAAAGACCACTTGGAGACCATCATGGCTTGAGGGCTGTGGGTGGCATCCCCCACAGTCAGCTGTGGTCAGGAGGCCAGTGCACAGACAGAGGGGCTGGTGGGCAGTTTCTTGTCCACCTGGATGCTGGACCTGCAGGATGGGGGAGGCAGTAAGGATACAGCCTGGGGGCTGGCATGGCTCAGTGGCCTGCTGCTTGTCCCCAGCAGGCTGCCTTCCTGGGAGGCCAGCGAGGGAAGGAAGAGGGGTAACTGTCTCCTCAACCACGGCAGGGGGAGAGGAGAGGACAGGGGCAGACTCAGGCCCATGTCCCTGCCCCCTGCTAGGTCACTGGTCAGGAGTCCCCTAGCAAGGGATGAGCTGTCCAAACCTTAGGGAAAAGAGATGATACCCGTACCTCCTGCCTGTGGCTGCAGTTGGAGAAACCGAGGCAGGTAACTCACAGCACATGTTTCCAGTAGAAGAAATCAAAAGGAGTGTGGAGACAAGGGAACCATAACTAAAGACACTGCACCTTTAAGAAGACCTCAACTTCAGGGGCCAGCCCAAGTTCTGAGGTGATGGTGCTGGCTCAGGATGAGAAGCCCAGAAACTGGTTCCACTAAGAACCCAAGCAGCCAAAGAATGATCCCAGGATAAAGCTTCAGACTGAATAAACCCAATGCCCAATGTCCAAATTACCAGTTAAAAATGCCCATACCCAGAGACCAAGCTAACAGCCTTCTCCAGGAGTTTCCACCCCTTCAAAGGAACTCCAGATGTCCCCAATTCCAAACTGCAAAGTCGCCCTGCCCTCCAGGCCCTCAGAGCCTCTGTCCATCTGGAGACAGTAGTCCTAGAGCCTTGGCAGAAGCTTCTGGAAAGCACCCTGGTGTTGAGGGAACGGGGTGGGGGTTAACGCTCACTGTGACAGAGCAGCACTATTTAGGATTTGGGAAGTCAGCCCCAGGCTTTGCAGGGTAATCGGCTTTCTGGGGCCTCACAAGATCGAGGCCAAGGGCCAAGGTGCTCACCTGTCTCCCTCTGTCCTCCTGCTGGAAGCCACCTCTATAGAGGGCTGGGTCTCCAGCGCCTCCTGATGGCCAAAGCCAACATGCTGTCCTTGAACCTGGCTGAGAACTCTCTCCTTCCCACCTAGACCCCCTCTGACCACCACCGAAACTCCGCCACCAGAACGCCATAGGGTCCTAACTCACCTTTCCGGGACTGGGCCAGGCACACCCCCAGAGACTGCGTGTGCGACTGAGGCTGGGCCTGGCTGAACATGAGTCATTGCAGAGTCTGTTCAGAGACACAGGAGCGCTTAGGATGCAGGCTAGGGGGACACACAGAGGCCAGGGTCACGGAGGGGGTTCCTCCGTCCAGAGCCCCTCAAGCAAGCATGTGGCACGGAGGCTCACACCCAGCGCCTGGGGGCGCCAAGGAAATGCATTTGGAGGCGCTTCAGGTCACACAGCTCCTGATGCAAGCTGTGTGGATACTGCAGGTGCAGGCGGATGCGTCTGCTCTCCAAACACCTGCTTGCACCTAGGTAAAGCCCAGAAGCTGAAACCCCCACCCAGCGTGGGCTGGGGCAGGAGCAGAAGCAAAGGGCTTGGTCCGCAGGGAAGGAGTGGGTAAAGATATTTTAGGAGAGGAGCTTGTTTAAATTGAAGACAGAAGAGAGCCAAGGAGAGAAGGCAGTGCTGGGGGCAGGCAGGAGCGGGGTACAATGCTTCCCTATCCCTGTGCCTTCAGGGCAGGAGCTTGGGTGGGTGTGGCCCATCCCGCTGCTTTCTCTCCTCCTGGCCTTGTGTCAGGTGAGGAGCTGCACCTGCCTGGGGTGGGGGTCATAGCTCTCAGCAGATGGACCAGGAGGCCAGGAGTGAGGCGGAGAGGAAAGGGGCTGGGACTCAAGCGCCAGGGCTGCAGCAGCAGCAGCAGGGCTCTTTTGGGGGTGAGGAAAGAGGAATAGGTCTGAAAGCTGCCCTGGAGATCTCTGCAGCCAGCAGAGCAACCAGGGACAGAGGCGACCTCGCAGTCACAGGTGGTACTGCAGGGTCCTAACACCACCAGGAGCCCACAGCACACCTGATCCTCTCAGACACATGGGCAGCTGGCATTGAGAGCATGGGTTGGAGTTTGTGGCATATCATAGCTTTTGAGGGAGGGGGCTAGGACAGAGGGACAGAGGGACAGAAAGAGAGAGAGAGACCGAGAGAGAGACACCGAGAAGCCCTGGGAGGCTGAGGCTTTCAAGCATCGAGGAGCCATGGTGGCAGTGGTGCTGAATGAGGTCTCTGGTGACATTTCTGTCATTAACTGAGTCTTTCTGGGCTGTCCTCGCCCTGGTACAGGGCACTGTTTTACAAACAGGGCTGTGTGAAATTCATAGATATTACCTAGAAATATTGAAGGAGCAGGAACTGGGAAAGAAAAATCTGTCTCCTGTTCCATATGGTGGGTCGTTTCACGAGTGGAACAGCAGGCCTGGAAGGATCAATCTCCTTAGTCTGTGCGTGCAGCGCGGGGAGTCTGCCCGAACCCCAGACACCATGCATGGACACAGCACAGCTGGATTCCCTCCCGTTATTCCCTGCCCACCCCTGCCTGCCTCAGTCTCCAACTCCTTTCTCCATTTTCATCATGGTCAATATGATTGCTTTTAGCTGATATTTATAACATACAATGTTTAAGTCACTGTGGGCATTCGGCGCATGGACATAGCACCTCTTAAATCTTTTTCCTTTCCCTCCCTGCACCTTCTGTCTCTTGGATTTGCAAAGACCTCCCAGTGGCCTCCTATCAAACTTGGTTTTGCTCTTTGTATTCTTACTCAAACGACACTTAGATACCACACGGTATTTAAGCGAGTGTCAGGTGGCGGGTTAGGGCTGGCCATGAGTTGTGGAAGGAGGTCCTGGTCCTCAACACCTGTTCAAGGCTCACTGTTCTTGCCTTCTAACGAGGTTGCCTCCAAGGCCAAGTTTTGTCCTTCATGCGGAAGCTCTTTTCAGGTCAACTTTCTGCCCTCTGTCAGGTGGTAGAGCCAGGGTCCGGGTCAAAGTTTTAGTGCCTCTGAGAACGAGGCTCCCAGAGGACTTCCAGGACAGGGAGCTGGACTGCACTTTCCTGGTTGCTTACCGTGGAAATGAATTAGAGTGACAAGAACAACAACAAAATTACCTAATAAAAGGCACCTGCAGTTGTTTTGCCTCTGTTTTCACTGTCGATGGAGCCCAGGCTGCCTTGACCTCGAGGCGATCCTCCTGCCTCGGCGTCTCCGGCGCTGGGACCACAGGTGTGTACCACCGTGCCTGGCTGTTTCACTTTATCGCATCGTTCAGAGGCAGCCCAGCTCCTCAGCCTGGCACCGTTCTCAGGCAGGGCAGGCCCTAAGCCAGAGGAAAGGACAACGACAAAAGCCCAGCAAAGCCTGGAGGCTGGCAGGGTGGGGTGGAGGGGTCCCCAATCTGTGACGGCCAGCTGCTGGGGCAGACGCCAAAGGATTACTCTGCCCAAAGCCTCGGATCTGCTGACAAAGCCACCAGAGGCCACCTAATCACTAATATAATTATTCCCCTAGGGGACAGGTCAGCAGCTTCCTGTGACTCCCCGGGTCGACCTGGGTGGTAGCAGTGGGGTGGAAGGGTGGTGTGTGAGCTGAAGGTGCAGAGCTGACCTCCTTCTTTGGGTGTTGTTGCCAGACAGGCCAGGGGGTGGGGCACGGCCTGGTGGCTGTGAGGCTCTGGGCATGGGGCTCCATCCAACATGGGCCCTCGGAACCTGTCTGCTTTGGGGATTTCTTCAAAATGCTCCCATAGGCAGCAGAGCTGGTGCAGGTGCACAGGCTCCATGTGCCTGCAGCAATGTGAGTCCACAGTCAGCTGTGGACCACAAGCCCGCCTGCAACGGAGCTGTGCCTGGCCTGTGCTCCCTCGCTCAGAGAACAAGCTCACTGCGCCGGTCAGCGGACACCTTTTTCCCGCAGACAAATCAATGGCTACTTTCTCTAGAGCAGAGAGTGGAAGGCTCAGAATCTTGAGAGGCAGACATCATCAGTGTGCAGTGTCCTCAACAAAGCCCCTCTCTTCTCCTCTCAAAATAACATTGAGAAATAATCATATCTCGCTGCACAGGTTTCCTGGCTGTTGGCAAGCAACAAAGGCCTGGATGACCCAGTCTGTCCTAAGATGGAGAGAAACAAGGCAGTGTGTCCTTAGTTGGGCTGGGGACCCCACACAGCTCTCATGCCAGCTCCCTGGGAGGCTGAGGCAAGAGGACTGCAAATTCAAGGCACAAGGATGTGTCTGTCAAGGTTGATATTTGAGGTTCCAGACCATATCATGACAGCTACAAGTGTTTATAGAACTGTCCCAAGTGGAATGGTTCCCTGGAGTCCGTGTTCAAGTGTGACCTGATACATAGTCTCCTGTGTGACTTTGATACTGCATCTGCTGTGGTTTCCAACATGCTTTATCAGCGACACTCACTAATGTGGCCAGAATATCCAGGCCCTTGATGAGGAGGGGAACGTGATCTTTAGAAAACATCTCACAGCTCGCGCAAGCGCATGGCAGTTGTAAGACCCAGGGTGCAGGATGGGGAGTGGCCCTGCTCTGGCCACAAGGGTCACCCAGGCCTTTGAACATGCAGCCTTTACACCGTTCTCCCCTTCCCCCTCTCCTCCTCTTCCCCTTTTTTCTGTACTGGGGATTGAACCCAAGGCCTGTGCACTAAGCCATATCCCCAGGTCTTTTTATTTTGAGACATCGTCACTGAGTTGCCCCAGACTGACCACGAATGTGCAATCCTCCTGCCTCTCCCTCCTTCCCAGAGTGCCAGGCTGTCCCTGCAACCGTGTGCTTATTAGCATAATTTCTTGCACAAGCTTGGATGGCATCGTGGCACACAAGATGCCGCTGCCAGCCACCAGGCACTGAGGCAGCGACACACAGCTTTTAAATATGGGATGGCAAATTCCCAAGACAGTCTTGTCTGCCACTGGTATTTATAAGTAGGTATTTATAAGTAGGAAAAAATCTTTCCTGCAAGGAACACAGCACCATAAACACTAAACAAAAACCAGAACTATTTCTCAGAGGCATTCTGATACTAAATTTGATATACTTTGATATAGAACATATTTAAATAACTATTAACATACAACCTATATAATGCAATGTACTGTTTAGTAAAACTTTTTAAAAATTTTATGGAGCTTATGTTTCTTCCACAGGAACAGTGGTCTATCGTTTATTTCTGCCTCAGTCTCTCAGAAAAATGCATTACATGTGGGTGCCACCCAGTGGAAAAATTTGTTTTCTTTTTAACTTAAGTAAATTGGCCCTGGCTACTTTGGGGCTACGGTGGGATCACTTGATCTCGGGAATTAGAGATCAACCTGAGCAAAGCAGAAGACCCTGTCTCAAAATGAAAAGAAAGTCAGGTGTGGCTGAGATGACGGCTGCAGCTGATGGCTGATGTAGGTGATGGTTACCTGGGTTTCCCTGACCTATTTTTTTGTTTGCTTTTCTTGGGCAAGATCTTCTATGGGACTCACTATGTAGTCCAGGACAGCCTCCAACTTTCGATGATCTTCTTGCCTCAGCCTCTTGAATGCTGCCATTACGGGCCGGCACCTCCACACCCAGCTTTTCCTGTCTTATTAGCTCTAATTCTGTGACTGAAATTTCACATTAGTTTAAAATATGTGCACGCAAACAGGAGGACCACAAGAACCTTAAGGCCAGAAGCACATCGGCTGACCTCGGAACGCCTTCTGGACGTGCTCTCGGGTCCAAGCCAATTCTGCTCCTGTCTCCCAACTCTAGAGACACTGTCCCTGGCAGGCATATTGGGGGTGAGGCAGAGAGTATTGGGGTGAGGGGTTTGGGCCTGGGACCCCTCTGTGAAGACACCAGATGCCATGTGGAGGTGGAACCGGGTGCTCACTTCTCTCTGCATCTACACCTGGTCCTGGGGCTTGGGAAATCCTTTCCCTCTCCCATGTGTCCTCCTGGACCCACGTGTGCTTGGCTCCCACATCCAGTCATCACCATCTGTTATCTGTGCCCGCCAGTGCCCTCTGCCATGAATTCGAGCTTTAGGAACAGAAATCCTGTCTGTCACAGAGCTGCTGGACATACACAGGTCTAATCGTTTCTTGAGCGACTAAGTGAGCACAAGGTTATTGTGGTTTCCTTGGTGCCAGTGGCTGGCAGCAGCACCCTGGCCTGGGGCTCTTGTGAACCATCATTGTCCTCCCTCCTGGCCAAGACATTAAGACCAGCTGGGTGACTCCTGGAAGAGAAAGGGAAAGGGAGGAGTCTCTGTGATTGACAGAGGGGAGTTTTCAAGGGAGTGCCACGGCCGGGAACCCTGATCCCAGCGCTGTTTCCCCAGCAGTCTTTCTCAGGCTTCCTCTGAAGGGACAGGAGCCAGCGGAAGCTCAGCTCGGCTCCAGCTTGTCCCTTGCTGGTGGCCTCTGTCCACCCCTGTTCTGCTGCTCCTGTCTACTCCCAGCTGGTGCTTATTATCCCGCCAATCACACAACTGTGGCACCTCTGCCCTCTCCCACTGCCTAGCCAGGCCACCGCAGGGACACATTGGTTTGGGAGCAAGTTTGCCCACTGCATAGCGCATTTCATTCCCCAGATTTTAGCATCTTTGCTGGAATTGGAAATTGCAGACTTCATCAGGCCCTTGATGCATCTTCTGCATAGGATTTACAACTTAGTGACAGACGCTGGCAGACGTGCCCAGTGCTTAACATACAGTGCTGTCTTCTTTCCCAAGCATCAAAAGGGAGCACTTACCACGGGGCCACGAGACTGTCCTTAACTAACACCAGGTGACATCTCCGCCCTGCTGTGTTTCTGTCCTGATGCACAGATGGGGGCGCTCGAGCTCCCAGCTCATCTTAACCACCGAAAGATGGGTGCTGCATGGAAAGGATTTGCTACACTGAGTCATGATACCCTGGCAGTGAAGCCTTAGACAGGCTTTCCCGTGTGCCCATGAGAACTATGGAGATGATTTGGCAAAATGGCTTGCGAGTCTTTGACCAGATTTTGCTCTTCTGTACTCTAGGGACCACTGCCAGCAAGAAGGGCATTGCAAGCTGGAACCAGGCACCGGGTAGGTTAGACATGGAGGACCGACTGGTGACAGGAGCCATCGTCACACATGTGCCGTTTTGCAGCTGCTCCTGGTCAGATGGCTTCATTATGTCACACTTGAGGAATTGGAAAAGAAAGGAGAAAAGCAACAGGCCAGTAGGCCAGCAGGTGCCTTCTGATAAGGAGAGGTGCCCTTGGGAGCAGTAAACGGGGTGCGGGGGGGGGGGCTGCGTGGGTGGAGATGGTGGAGGCTGATGGGGATGCAGGGACCTAGAAGACTGGCTGGCGGTGATCAGAAGCTGATGCCCTGAACCTGAGAGCTGCACATTCTGCATTCAGACCACCTGCTGCTCCTGCACATGGGCACGACCAGAATAAATGAGCTCTTTCTTTTTAAAATTTTTTATTAGTACATGTTAGCAGTACGTGATGTTTGCATTCATCTCAGGAGACGGGTTACCTGTACTTAGCACAGTGTAATTCTTTTTATTTCTTTGCAGGTAAGAATAGCCACTGAACCCATTTTTGGTGAACATGATCTAAGAGGAAGTTGGCTGGTTATAGAAGAGGATTCTGGGAGTGTGTTTGCTTTCTTGGAAAATGGAGACAAACCCAGCTGCAAACTGCCCTTCCTGTGTTCTTCCCTGAAGATGGATGTGACAGCTGGAGAGGTAGAAGCTGTCCCGTAACCAAGAGGGAGAGGTCAAAAGAATGCCATAGAAGTAGGCCCTTAAACTCTTGAGTTCTTGAACTAGTGCCAACAACTGTCTTCCTCTAGAATTGTTATGAAAGACAAACAAATTCTTAAACCTAAGTAGTCAGGTTTGCTTTTATGCCTGACTAAATGGATGCCTCCATGACACACAGGTTACCGGGTTAGCAAAATTAAATTGCATACAACAACACCCCAGCACAAAGGCCTGAAACTATTTCATCCCATGTTTCATGAATGAAAGAACAAAATGATAGGTTAAGTCCTTGAACGCAGATGCTACACAACGATTTTTTTCAGATGGGGAACAAGGTCTTCTATGTCATTCAGGTGGTCCTTGAACTTGCAGTAATCCCTCTGCCTAAGCCTTCAAGAGCTGAGATTTCAGCCACATACCGCTGGCCGAAGTTCTTTACTGCGTGTAAGTCAGGTGCCCTAACCAGCCCAGCCACACAGGGAGCCCCCAAGGCCCACACATGATGGGCCAGCTGGGCTTCGGACAGCTGGATCTTTTTTGGAAGGGGCTGCTAGAAACAGTGTGGGTGAATAAGGTCAGAGAAAACACACACGCATTAACACCACACATCTTTTCACCAGTTTATTGTATTTTTACAGTAAAAATAAATTAGTCATACACAAAAATAGCTGACATTTTCCCCCAAAGCAGGCTGTATTTACTCATATAATCCACCGTGCACTGTCCCTCCTTACAAAGCACTCTCACACCGCCCCGGAGCTGGGTGCATAGAGCAAGCAGTGAGTTCCTTGCCTCTTGCTGCTGGCTACCCAGTCACAGGGCAACCTTGTTGGCGGCCCTGGCCGCCGTCCCCAGTGGGGACCGCTGTAGTCACAGGCCTTCCAGCCTCTCCCCGCCCAGTCTGCAGCTCTGACCCTGCGGGTCTAACAGCAGGTGACACGGCAGGGACAAGAAGGCTGGGGGACAGGCTGTGTGTCCTCCAAATGTGAGGGGACGAGGAGCAGGCAGATTTTAGGAGGAAATACAATGTTAAAGATGGAAAGGTGGCAATCACGTCCAGCAGTGATGCCCGAACAGTCAAAAAGAGAGGAGTTTATAATCTTCTTAAACCTCAAGGAGTATTCATCGGCATACTGAACAATGGTAAACATGGGCTTAGAATAAATCAGTGTCGGGTAGTAAGATTCCAGGAAGCTGGTTAGTATGGTCAGATGATTTTATACGAGTGTGGCTGGGATATGCAAATAAATACCTATTCGGTCCCTTTATAATTAACATACTCTAAATTATAGAACTATTTGGGTGTAGTGACTTATCTGCAGATAGAGTTCAGAATACATATTTCCTATAAACATCTTGTATTTACAAAGAACAACATAATAAGTTATCACAAAGTATATCCTTCTGTCAAACTGCAGGGGAGCAGGGGGCTAAGGCAGGTGGGGGGGGTTCCTGTAGGTAACAGAAGGGGTTTCCTGGCACTGAGCAGGGCTCACGGTCTGGAAGATGCTGACAACATTGGCCACAAGTTGCCACCGTCTATCGGTCACTGTACCACAGCACAAGGGGAACCTGGGTAGGACCAGGAATAGGGGTTCGGGGCAGAGAATCACTTTGTCCTAGCAGAGATGGAGGAAAGCAAGGCGTGAAGATGGCAGGAGGTAAAGGGCTCCTGCCTGATGGGTGTGCTGCCTCCCTGGTCACATTATGTTTGTGTCCTCTGTGACACAGGACCAGTGGGCCGGCTCTGGTCAGGGTACCAGTGGTTCTCTGAGATATAAGGCCACATTCAGCTTAGGGGCAGAGGCATCGATGGGTCTGAAATGGTCGACACGGTGGCAAAAGCTGGGAATGGGATAGGATGTATGCAGGTCACACTTAAGCACCACAGGAAACTGCCTACTAACATAATCACCAAACCCAGACTTGCAAATAACCTTGGACATCATGATGCCCAGCCAGCTATCTAAGACCCGGTCCTATGTCCTCTGGCTTTGGTGACCCCTCCAAAGTTGAGCCAGTCACCTCTGGCACAAGTCCTCTGACATTGAGGCTTGGTTCTCCTGCAAGAGCAAATATCGGGGTCCCTGTAGCTTCTCCGTCCTGGGCCTAGTAGGCTCTCATGGCGCCCTAACACTTTCCCCATCCCCTCATCCTCACAAGGTCCTTCCTGCTGTTTCTAGCCATCCTACCTGGTTCCCTTGCCCCTGGACATTACACACGGTCAGCAGTCTGCATCCATCCTCCATTAAGTTTTGTCCACTGAAATACGTCTCATAACCTTTTACTTGTATAGGTGTTTTTTTAAAATTCCAAAGGTAGATCTTTCCGATACTTCCTGCTGAGTATTAAGATCTGGGTTTTTAGTCTTCAGATCTGTTCGGATCTGGCTCCTGTTAGTTAAGGCTCCCCAATTTCCTGTCAGCCAATCTCTTTGCCAGGAAAGCATCTTCTTCCCCAATTGAAATCATGGTAAAAATGGTGAAGACTGGATGTTGGTCTCCACCTACTGGGCTGATATAGATTATTCAACCTGGCTTAGCTTCTGGTCGTCTTTCTTATTACTTCTATTTCTTCTTCCTCTTTTGGAAAGTGCTATCTCAACTCTACCTGAGCCCTGTTAATAGAAAAAAAAAATTAAAAAGCAAAGAAAACATGCTAACAATACGGTAATATCTAGATCTCTCTTGGTGCCAAACAGCCTGCTAAAAACAAGTCAAACTAGTGTCTCTCATTTTCTGTCCTTTCACAAAGCTACCCTGGTAATGAGTGACTGATATATACTTAAGGCAATGGAGGAAAACACCCCCAAAGAGCCCTCCGGAGCAGGAAGGCAGAGGAACAGATGCGGACAGTCCTGAGAGCTCCTGCCTTAGGGGTTCCCACCATCTGGGCTGATCGCAACATTCACCGAAGGGAAATGGCTCCCTCTAGCGGCGAATTTGCAAGGAGCTTGCAGCGTCGGGTATTTCCTGTTCTTTTTTCAAGGGATGGACCTGAGGTGGCCCTGAGGCTGGGAAGGAGGGAGGGGGGAGGTGGGCCCTGCCTAGGCTGGGAGAGGCATGACTTCTGTCTGAGGTTTTGCAGAGTGCTGCGCAGGAAAACACATTGTAAAATTCAGAGCAGGGAACAAGGCAGTGCAGTATGGGGTGTGTGTGTGTGTATGTGTGTGTGCGCGCACGTGTGTGTGCGTAGTCTTAAAATACAAATTTCTATTCCACATTTTGGCCAAGGAAGGCACCAGAAGGAGCCTGGAAGGAGATGGTGGGTGATGGGAGGACGGAGAGATGGATGCTGGGAAAGGAGGCTACACTGTCTGGAGGGAGAGTGCCCCAAGGTGGGCTTGCCTTAGACTCTGACCTGGAAGGTCACCGGAAATACCCAAGTCCCCACAATGGGATGCATTGTGCCTCAGGAATACATGGGGGCTGAAACAGGAACTGGGCGACTAGCACAGATCGGCTTTCTCTAACTGGGAGCAGACAAAGCCTCTGTTCTCACCACCTGCTCCCAAACATGCGTGAGCCCCAGGAACAGCTGGAATTTTTCCTGGAAAGGAAAAGGCCCCCAGCTGGGCACCCCTTACCCCATGAAGGCACAGGCTGGCCAACCCCACACTGGGCAGGAATTTCTGAGTTTGAAGGACTGGGGTGTTCTCTTCCGACAGCTCAGTGAAGTCTTCAAGGACAGAGTGCTCCCTTGGTGTGGTGGCCCGCACCCCTTGTGGGTAGCTGATTGCTAGAACTTTCCCTTCCTTTATGTGAGACCAGCAGAGGCTGGTCTGCACCCACTGGTCCAGGTGGCCCACTTGTATGGAGAAAGACTCGCCAAGCAGCCTGCAAGGTCTATTTGCTCAGCAGAGCCTGAAGGCATGGCGTGAGGGAAAACAGGCTGGGCTGCAGGAAGGGGCACAGCTCGGGCATCTCTGGTCTCCTTGTGCCCTGAGGCATGAAAGTCAGACCTACCGTCACCTGAGCACTGGCAGAGCAGGGAACATCCTCAGAAATGCACCTGAGCTCCTCAGTTTCAGGCGCTGACAGGACACCCAAGAGTATCTGAAGGCCTCAGGCTGGCGGATGTGAGAGAGGGAGCCTGGCAGGGCCTAGAGCTGTAAATCCTCATCAGCTTTGCAGAGCTTTTGGTCACAATGCCCAGGGGGAAATGTAAGGCTTGCTTTGAAGGGGAAATATGCCCAGGACCTAGAAGAGGGGACAGTGACAAACCCACAGTTGTTTAGCCTGATATTCTTGACGGATGAAAGAAAAAAAAAAACTAAATTTTTTAGTTGGTTCACATTTCAAGATGCACTGCACCCCACCTTGGGCCAAGGCCTCTGTAGTTCCCTTATTGGGTGAAGTGGGTTGGGAGATGATGGTCAGGAGTTCACCGTTTCTCCCAGGCTGGCTGAATGAACTGAGATTTGGTCAAGTCTAGGGGAGGTGAGGACTGTGGGTCATCGGGCAGGGGAGGATTGGAGGGCACAGAGAAAATGTCATAAAGACCCTAATACAGCCTGGAGCTCTTTGGCGGCCTACAGGCTGGACTTCATACTGACCACACATGGCAAGGAGCCCAGGAGAGATGGCCGAGAATGACGAGAGGAACCTGTCACTTGTGGTGGAACCAGAATATCAGGCAACCCCCTGGCTCTACTGTGGCTGTCCTTGTCCCCTGCACAGCTCTGTTGGTGATGGATTTAGGGAAGCCAGAGCTGTCCCTGTGGGGAGGGGAGAGAGCTCAGCACAGGACAGAAAGGCTGACCCACACACTGTGGAGGCAGAAGGCCAAGCCCTGGGCTGGGTTTGTTGGTGGGAAACTTCTCGGCCTCCCGGCTGGAAAGGACGCTACTTCCTCCAGGCCCCAGGTGGTGACTAGGACAGGTGAGGGCTGTGGGCAGGTGACTGGGTGGGCACTCAGCTCTGCCACATGGCAGGTCCCGAGTTGAGCCTCAGTTTCCTTGTCAAAAAAAAAAGTGGGATTACTTGTCTGCCACCTCCCATCTGGGCTTGTGAGCCTCTAAGGAGCTGGTGTCTGGGATACGCCAGCTTTGGCATGGACAGTGCTCTGCTGATGTGGGATAAGTGTCCTAAGGCAGGAAGATGTGCCAATGGCTTTGAGAGTCAAAACAGGCACGGTGGGCTGAGATCACAGAGGGGTGCACAAGGACAATGTCTCCTCTGGCTCCCACAGGGTGCCCACTTTGGAGAGGCCAGGAGCACCAGGGTGAGACGGTGCCCATCAGGGACATCTGCTGACTGGCACGGCACCAGGCTGTGAGGGTACTGTCCGCAGGTGCTGGGTCCCTGGGGTCCTGAGTCCATGGAACACTTAAGGGGTGGGCTGTGGCTTTCCAATGCTCCCAACGCCTGGCACTGAGCTCCCGGCAGGCACGGGCGGAACACGTGGCGGGGGTGAGGCTGGTGACGATGCTGGCCGGCGGTGCCCCAGGACGGGGTGGTATGCGTTATCTGCTCCCCAGGAAGCCAGAGTGCCTGGCAGCGCCCCGGGCGCAGGACGCGCAGCAGGCTGTCTTGTAGTAGTTGTAGACACAGAGGCGCGCCTGCACCACCACGTTGCAGTTGTAGTACTTGTCTCGGCAGCTCTCATCTGCGGGGAACAGAGCAAAAGAAACTCTGAACCCGAAACAGGCCCCGCCGCAGAGAGAGTAAGGGTGGTGGAGTACGATGCGCCTTTTCATTCCGCTCTGCTGTTTATCACCTAGGTGACCTGTGTATGTGCTAACAGCTGTGTTTTCTCACTCATTCATTCATTCCTTGGTGTTTTGAAATAAGGCTTTACTATCTCTGAATTCCCTAGTAGCTCAGGCTGGCCTCAAACTCATGGTGATTCTCCTGACTCAGCCTCCCAAATGCTGGAATTACAGGCTGTACCACCATGCTCTGCTAGCTCTTGCTTTTCTATATAGATTTAAGACCTGGTTTTTGAGGCTTTTGTATGAAAAGCCCCGTCTGGATTTTGATGAACATTGCTTGAGTTGACGGATTAAGTAGAAGAAAAACTGACAGTATACTTCTCAGCTGGTTGCTTTTTTTTTTACATTACTTACAAATATATTTAAATATTGTAATAATCACCAGTCTTTTTCAGGGCATCAGTGGTTTGTCCTAGGTGCTATAACACAACCAGCCATTTCCTTCTGTCAATAAAAATGTCTTTGCTCTCCATTTCTGTGAGTTGTAAGAAATTATAAAATTTACTTATTGGGGCTGAGGGTCAGGCCCAGGGTCTGGCCCCTTGCACGCTGGGTGTGTGTAGCTGACCACTGAACCACAACTCCCAGCCCTTATTTATTAATGTTCTTTATGCAAACATGTATTTTGTATGTTTTCAAGAATACATCTTTAGTATAAATTCCCAGTTAAATTAACAAGATCTTACTTTCCCCCAAAAAATCATACTAAGGCATAGATCTGAGCTTGATCCTCTCTAAACTCTGCCAGTGATGTTTAGCTCACTTTTAAAGAATCTGCTAATTCTACAGAAAAATAGGTACCCCATGCTGTTTTAAATTTGCATTTCTCATACTAGCTGCTTAAGTATTTTTTCAGCTTTTACTTTTTTTTTTTTTTTGTGGTACTGGGGATCGAACTCATGACATCACGCTTGCCAGGCAGGTGCTTATGCCACCGAGCTAAAAAATCCCCGGCCCCACTTTTTCAGCTTCTTATGGTAGATTTCTTCAAGTGTCTCATCCTTCACAGAAGCAGTTTGTTTGCTTTTATTTTTACATTTATTTTATTCACTTGTCTTTCTAAAAAAATGAATTTGAGTGAGCTCTATGTAGATCTGGGATTTAATGCTTTGTTTACTTGAATGGCACTTATTTGTCTCTAAAATGTTTTCAATTGATGGATGATTTAGTAATAGTTTTTTGGGATAAAATGAAAAATCATAATAATATTTGCAAATTTCAACAAAACAAAACAAAACAAAATAAAAACAACCCTGTACTCACATACCGTTTTCTTCTTCAGCAATAAAACCAAACTATACACCTGATTTTCTTTACTTTCAAAGCTGGTCAGCAAGCCCTTGGGGAGGAGCCTCCTCCAGGGCTGATAACTTGAGCTCATGCCCTGGCTGTTTTTAGTTGCTTCATCTTTGACAGTACAGTTGTGAGGTGCATCAAAGAATACCAAAGTTTTGGGCTGGGGATGTAGCTCAGCAGTATAGGCGCCTGCCTGGCAAGCACAAGATTGTGAGTTCAATCCCCAGTATCCCCCCCATCAAAGTTTTATTTACATATTCTCCTTTGTTGATCTTGTAGTGCTCCTGTTTTCCTTAATTGGATTTCATATCAAGGTGGAATTTTTCTTCCTTGCAAAGATACCATAAACAAGCTAATTGGAGTGGCTTAAAAAAATGGCACCATATTAGGAAGTGACTTTGACAAATGTGTGCCAGCTGAGTAGCAGAACTTCACAGCACATGAACTGGTTCTACCAATCACTCTGAGCTCTGAAATGCATATAATCAATTCCACAGATCTGGCAATTTCGACCTTCTTGAATTATCCATGTCCATATGCCTGAGCCAAGCAGGCTGTGCCTATGCAATACAACACAAGGCTGCCTTCATAGTCAGACCTTTAAAAATAATGTAACAACCTATGATTCAAAGCCAAAGTGTCACCTGTGTGGGGCTGACAATGCTAAGGAACACAAGGGAACTGTACCAGTGTCATTCCTAATCCTCTGGGTCTGTTTCTTTATTTGGGTACGGGGAATCAAACACAGGACTTTGCGCTTGCCAGGCAGGCTCTGTGCCCCTAAGCTACATTGCCAGCCTCTATCTTCTAGACTGATTATAACATCCTATCCTCCTGAGATGCGTATCAGATATTTTCTAATAATTTTTCTGTTCTCTGGCTTTCCCTCTCCTTTCCTTCCTTTCAACATGGGAAGTGATGACTTACCAGGAAAACTATTTTTAATTTCACACCTAGCAATAAGGCCTCTGGGTTTAGAGTCTTGATTTATGGAGTAACCAAAAATGAACTACAAATAATATTCACAGATATATTAAAGGAAAACTTCCTAAGCATAGGAAAAAGAAATGATATCCAGATAAATGAGGCACACAGAACTCCAGCCACTTATAACCAAAACAGATCTACACCCAGACATATAATAATCAAGATTCCAGAAATCCACCAAAAGAGCAAAATATTAAAAGCAGCCAGGGAAATGAAGCAGATTACCTACAATGGGAAAATTATCAAAATAACAACAGACTTATCAACACAAACTCTCAAATTGAGAAGAGCCTGGGGGGAAATATTCCAAGCCCTGAAAGAAAATAATTTGCAATCAAGACTGAGGTACCCAGAAAAACTCTCTCTCAAAATTAATGGAGAAATAAGATGTTTCCAAGACAAGGAGTAACCGTGGGAGTTCATGGCCACCAACCCAACCCTACAGAGAGTGCTGAAGGACATTCCAGAGAGAGAGAGAAGGGATACCAGGATTCCAGCAACAGTGGCAGAGAGGCCTATATATGGGGCAGACAGTGGAATCAGGGATTAAAGTGGACAAATTATAGCAGTAAAGTGGAGTAGCAGACATGAGGCAGAGACGGTAAGCTATAATCTTTAATATAGATAGCCTTAATACACTAAAATAAAAAAAAAAACAGGCAGAGTAGATAGGAGGCAGGCTCCATTGAGATGCTCTGAATGGGAAATACACTCAACCCGAAGGAGGGTTAATAACCTGAAAGTCAAAGATGAGAAAGCAAAGCCAAATGTGACAGGAAACCAGAGAGAAATAGGGACAACTCATCCAGTAGCCGCAGATAGACTGGAAAGCTATCACACTTTTGGGCAGTGTAGAACTACACAGTTGGAAGGAAGCAAAACCTTATGACTTTAGTGAGTAAAGGAGTACAGCTCAAGATCAAGCTCAGGGGGAAACAGGTTCAGCAACACTCAGAGAGACAATGGGCTGCCCCTAATCTAAAAACTAAAGGGGCTAGTGAGCCCAAACATACAAAGCATCCTGAGCAGGGGAAAGGTGAGAAACAGCCTAAAAAGGAAGGCAGAGGTCATTGTCAATAGTGTATCAGGATTTAAAAGTCACAGTAGACTTTATTGCTCTGTTTAGTTTGGTTTTATTTTGTTCCAGTCTGTCCACTCATATCAGATTTGAGGACATCTAACCCCAAAATAGCAGGTTATACCACGGTAACTGTCCTTAATTTCCTATTAACTTAAACTGAAACCCTGTATTACTTACATTGTCTTACTATGACTGATCTTATTTGAATCTGGTTTGTTAGACCGCAGTTTTGTCTTAGCTGATTTTATTCAAATTTGGTATGCTTGATAGTATCAAGTCTAAAAGTAGAGGCAACTACTCTGAAGATGACAAGATGTAAAAGATGTCCATACTGGTTCTGATTATTAACCGCTCTCAAGTCCTACAATGTTTTCAAAGTTGTGTTTTTATAAAAATAACTATGTAATACTATGCTTAACTGTATTAAGCCCGATGATGTGGACAAGTCTACTGAAAATAACAAGAGAAAGCATACTGTTATGATTTGAAAACTGGTGGTCAACTTAACGCCAGCTGGATTACAGAAGATGCTCCACCTGAGGGCTGCCAGGATAAATAGGTGGAGAAGAAGGGAGGTGTTGGGAGGGACTGAGGCGTTAAAGAGGCATTGTGGGTTCTCCTATGAGTTGCTGTCTGAGCTGTTGGTTCTCCTGGAGAAGCTTTGGTCTTCATATCGAGCATTGCTTTCTGGCTCCAGAGGGGAAGACATGTGCTGCCTGGTCTCCAGGATGAACTCGTCACGCTGCTTCCTGGCACATACCCGACTGTGCTTGTTGTCGTTGGAGCTCGGGGCCTCCATGTCGCTGAGGACAGCTGTGGTGCCTTTCAGGATAGCCCTGGTCTTTGTTGTGAGTGTGACTTCTCGGCTCCAGCGTAGAACCCTCATCCCACTAGCACAGCTCCTTCATCCTGCTGGCATAGACTTTCTTGCTTCCACCGCTGACCCTTGGGTCTTCCCGGTATGGATCCGTAAAAGAGACTGGCGTGAGTCCTTCTTGTGGGCTCTGGACCTCCAGCTGGACTCGTGGAGGCATTGTCCTGAGCTCTGGGGTTTATCTGGACTCATGTGGGACATTGCTGTGGGGTTTAGGCTCTTGACTAAATAATCTATGTCTTTGGTGTTGCGGATAGATTTCCTGCATTTTCCTGTGTTAACTTCTGGTGACTATTATAAAAATATTATAAACTCCATGTCCTAATCCTAGTTGTTCTCGGTGTGCAACGCCTGACTACAACACATAGTAACTACGGTATGTCACCTAATATTGTGGTCTTATGTGGTTTTTTCATTGCATGTTTTTCTAGGAAATTTGTTTTACTGTCTTGTTATGATTTGTTTTTCCCTACAATACAGAGAGGATAGATATATATGTAGAAATTCACACATGGGAAGAATTTTTAAAACTATTTACAGGAACAGATTATATAATGCAAGATGTGATGAACAGATACTCTGAAGAAGAGGAGACACTAAGAAACCCAATGCTAATTCTGTAGCATTAGGATATAAAATCTAGCAATACTATTATTCACTGTTTAGAGTGATATTAGTCTACTCTCTTAAGTTCAAGTTCAGCATACATAAGATAAGGACAGCTACTATGAAGAGAATGAGGAACACTATGGTAGTCATTATTGTCTTCCTCAGTGTCAGATCTTGAAGACCTAAAAAGCCTTTATCATCCTGTAATGATTTGATTAGTTCTATAATATGCAGTATGTATTCAATGTGTGTGAAGATGAGGACAACTATTTGGAAGAAAACTAGAGACAATAAGATAGACTGTGAAGATCTCCAGTGGACTTGCTTCGAAATCTGTATTTCTTTAAATTGTTTCTTTATAAACTGTTTTGTTCTGTTTTGATATGTTTAATCTTACCCTCTTTAAGATATAAAACAAGTGTGTAGGACTGATAACCATATTACTGAGTTTTTGTTGGATCATTGAGCAGAACTGTTGGCAGTGTCACTATTTGAATGTCACTTTACGTACTTTAATTTTGTAACCTGAACAACTATTTCTAAGATGACAATATGTAACTTATCAACTCGTGATTTCTTACCGTTTATTTTTCTGTAATTCTGTATTATTTCTACCCTCTTTTTTCTCCATTTTTTTGTTTCTTTCTCTTTAAATAAAAAAATAGTCTACTATGTCTTGCTTTATGAAGTCTAATAGTCTTGCTTTATGAAGGCTTTTACCAATTCAATGAAATATATATATTTTCCGTGCTTTTCTCAGTGTGTTTTCTGTTACGACCTTTAATCCATTAGGCAGGTGTGCTTATGAGTATGTGGTTTAATATAAGAGCCAAGGTTTCTTTTGTTTTTTAAACAAACCTTTGCTTGTCTCAATAAAATGTAAGTTTCTCCTCACTTAACACTCAATCTTTATCGTAGTTAACTTCTCTGGTATAAAATCTGTTTCAGAATTCTGTGTGTAGCACTGGCAAACCTGTCCCTGTCTATGTTAGTAATGTACAGCTTTTGTTTCTGTAGCTTCATCTATGCATGAATACATGGGAAACAGCTGTGGTTTGAACACGATTGTTCCTTGACTCATGCAGGCATGTAATCCCCAAAGTTCTGATGCTTCTGAATTAGTAAACCTCTTCTATTTATAAAGTTAGCTCACCTCAGGTGGTCTGTGATAGTAACAAAGAGCTGACCAATATACAAGGCAAGCTCTGCTCAGGCAATTCTTTAAAATATTGAGTTTTTATACCTAAGAAATATTAGTTATTCTATCCACCATGTTTCCGTCTGTGTCCTGTAGCATGGTTTTCTTATTTTTACTTTTAATTTTTCTGTAGTCAGTCTTAGATGCTGCTTGTTAATTTTCTTCCTGTGCATTATGGTGTAACTATGAGGTGTCTTCCCAAAGACTTGTGTTTTTGCAGCAATGCTCATAGAAGGGGTCTAGAGCAGTGACAGGATCACCAGGGCTCTAACTTCATCGACAAACTAACCCATGGATGACAGCAAGATTTCATGACATTATTGGGAGGTGACAGAAACAGGAGTTGGGGCCTTGTTGAAGGAAGTGGATGGCAAGGACATCAGGTTGGGAACTATATCTTGTTTGGCTCTTTCCTCTCTGGCTCTGACCTTTCCCTCATATTCTGCTTCCTGGCTGCTATATAGTGAATAGCCACGCCATGATGTTCCACTGCGGTGTTCAGCTGTGACGTTCCACTGCACCCCAGACCCACAGCAACTAAACCAAAACTTCTGAAATTCTGAGCCCAGATACAGTGGTATTTCAGTCCACAAATTTAATTCATAACAGGATTTTGGAAAAGATGACTCCATTTATGTTCATGTGGGAAAGATATTCATGGCTATGTGTGTTACCCAAGGCAGAGTTCACAAACAAAAACAAAATCCTGCCAGACACTTTTGTCTGTGAACCAAATTGCTCCAAACAAAAGCAATCATGAACTGAGTTATCACTGTAAACCTTTTCTTCTCTAAGTTGTTCTTCCCAGCTAGCTGGTCATAATGATGGAAAATGCACATCTTTGGGCTCCTTCTAGGAATAGTCACCCCCATACTTTTCCTCACTGGCTATTACTGGCACACAGGAAGCTGTTGATGACAGAGCATCCATTATGTAAGTAGCACAACTTTCCTGGATGGAAAGCACATTGGGTCAGTGCACTGAAACTGCAGGAAGAACCTACTGCCTGACAATCTACTGCGATATCACGCTTCTGTGCCATTGCTGTGAAGACAGGAAGAGTTCTGATACAGGGGTGCAGCACATCTATTCTGGAGCCAGTCTGCACCCAGCCTGGCACAATATTTTGGGTAGGTCTGGGTGGCACTTGGGCATCCATGATAACTCTACACTATCTCCCCACCATCCTAACAGTGCCTTTCTTTGCTCAGTTCATGTGCATGGTGCCTTTGGTTCAACTTCTAGCTCTTACAGGCGTTGTCCTCCAGGGTCCTGGGTCCTGTTTCAGGTGGCAGGTGGGGTCCTCTGCTCCTTGAGGATTCCATCCATTGTGCAGCCCAGGTGCCCGCTGTCACTGTCCCCTGTTGAGCCACATCATTGTGTGCTCTGGACTCTGGGTCTGTGCTATGCACTAAGGACATTTGCTCCAACTGTCATTGTCTCTACCCATTTTTGGCTCTCCCTTCTTGCCTCCTCAACCACCCAGCTCAGGTATCTCAGCATCCTCTCTCATGGACAATGAAGGCGAAATTTTATCTTCTTTTATGTGGGGTTGGGGACTGAATCCAGGCCTTAAGCATAGGACGCAAGTGCTCCACCACTGAGCTGTATCTCCAGCCCCGAACCAAAGCTTTACGTGCATTTTGATTTTAATTAATTAGTCCTGACATTTGTCTTTTGGTAGACAGCTTGGATACCCATCGGTATTGTGAGCAGTTATCTTAAACTATGCCACTTAGAATTTCAAAGTCGCTTTGACCTTCTGATCACTGTGACTGTGCACAAGGACACAGGGAGACCTGGATGGAATTGGCAGTTTTACTGCAGAGAACTCGACAGAGCTTATAAAAGGTCAGACCTTTGCTCCGAGTCAGGAATCTCTACTCACCGATTTCGGGGACACAGTCCTGAGGGTTGCAGGATTCTCTTTCTTCTGGTTTCAGCTGAGGGTCACAGAGATTACTTAGGGTCATGTCATCTGCCAGACATCGCACTTCCCGGACCCGGAAGCCACCCTGGCAGCTCTTGGAGCACTGTGTGGCAACAAAGGGGAGGTCAGCTTACCCAGCAGCCCATCAGCTCTCCACACCAGCGGAGAGGGGGTGGTGCTGAGAGACATCCAGTGTCTCCAGAGACGAGGGGGCACCTGTCCGCCAGCGTCAGCAGCTAGGAGCTCACGCCAGCTGTGCCCATCCACCCTCGTATGCTGTGCTCTTTCTGTTTTGAAGCAGATCTAGAGACCACAGCACTCTTTCTATAAAGTTTACTTTACATCTCTACAAGATGAAGACCCTTAAAAATCACAACATTATTTTTACACCTAAAAATCAACAGTGGTTAATTCAGCTATAAAGTGTTCCTATTTCCACTTTTCTCATGAAACTCATGTTCTTTTTTTTATTAAAAAGTTAAAAAAAGAAGGAGATTAAGATAAAAGGGGACATAAAAACATAATAACACAGGTCAGAACAGAAGAATTTAAGCAACATAGTGTTTCACCACAAGATATCCCGACATAAGAGTAGCTACCATAGTGTCTCTTTCCTTGAAATATTTGAGTATAACTTTGTATATTATAGCATCAAACACAACATGACATTGTGAAACCATTCAAGAGAATGAAAGTATTACAGGGTATTTAGAACCAACAAACAGAAAATGAACTATGGTTTCTATATTATCTCCTTGTCTATAAAAAATTTTGTTTATACTATCACATATAATAAAATCCAGTAAGACACAACATGGTAAACCAATAGAGACAGAAGAACAAAAGCTTCATGAGACTTCAAAACAAGATGATATTAAATCAGGACTAGCTATTATATTGTCTTGTTTTCTTCAAAATAACTGTTCATATCATCACAGACAAAAATCAAACAACCCAGAATAAAACCATTCCAATTTAATGAATGAAAACATTATAAGGCTTCAAAGCAATATAATGGGGAAACATGTTTACCACATACTTTTATGTATTCTTACCATTTCTTACACTAGGGAAACTATTCGGTATTTATACATGTGACTTTGATTTATTTCGCTTATGAGTATGGTCTCAAGCTGCGCCCATTTATTTATAAATATCTCAATGTGCTCATTCTTTATAGCTGAGTAGTACTTCATTGTATAGAAATACCACAACTTTATTATCCATTCCTCAGTTGATGGACACTTAGGTTGTTTCCAAGATCTGGCTATTACAAATTGTGCTGCTATAAACATGGGTGCACATATATCACTGTGGTATGATGCTTTCAGTTCTCTGGGAATATGCCTAGAAGTGGAATAGCTGGAATAAATGGGACTTCCAATCCCAGCTTTCTGAGAAATCTCCAGACTGACCTCCACAATGGTTGCACCCAGTCTATACTCCGACCAACAGTGTAGGAGAGTTCCTTTTTCCCCACAGCCTCTCCAGCATTTGTTGTTGGTAGTTTCTTGATCCTGGCCATTCTTTCAGTAGTGAGATGGAATCTCAGTGTGGTTTTAATTTGCATTTCTCTAATGAGTAATGATGATGAACATTTTTTCATGTATTTATTTGCCATTTGTATTTCTTCATCTGAAAATTGTGTATTCATCTCAGATGCCCATTTTTGAATTGGATCTTTGAATTTTGGGGGTCTGATTTTCACTAAGATTTTTTCCCAGTTTGTGGGTTTTCTTTTCACTATGCTGGAGATTTCTTTTGAAGTGCAGAAACTTTAATAAGAGGTGATACCAGTTATTGATTCTGGGAAGTATTTCCTGTGCAGTTTGATTCCTGTTCATGAATTCTCTACCTATCCCTATGTCTTCAAGGTTTTTACCCAATTTGTCTTCCAATAGATTTAGTGTTTCTGTTTTAATATTCAGATCTTTGATCCATTTAGATTTTAATTTAGTACATGGTGATAGGCATGGGTCTGGTTTCAGTTTTCCGCATGTGGAGAGCCAGTTTTTCCAGCACCATTTATTAAAGAGACTGTCCTTCTTCCAGTGAACATGTTTGGTCCCTTTGTCAAAAATAAGGTGGTTGAGTGTGTTTTTAGTTGTGGTTGTATCTTCTAATCTATTCCACTGACCTTCGGCTTTGTTTTGATTCCAGTACCATGTTGATTTAACTACTGTTGCTTTGTTGTATAACTTCAAGTCAGGGATTGTGATACCTCCTGCCTTGCCTTTGCTGCTTAGAACTGTCTTTGCTATTCTAGGTCTCTTCTCGTTCCAGATGAATTTTAGGAGTGATTTCTCGAGATCTATGAGGTATGTTGATGGTATTTTTACCAGGATTGCATTGAATCTGTATAACAGTTTTGGGAGAATGGCCATTTTCACAATGTTTGTTCTTCCTATCCATGAGCAAGGGATGTCTTTCCATTTTCTGAGATCATCTTCAATTTCATTTTTCAGTGTATTATAATTTTCCCTGAATAGGTCTTTCACTTCTTTCATGAGAGTAATTCCTAAATATTTTATTTTTTTGGTTGCTAGTGTAAAGGGTGTGGCTTCTCTTATTTCTCTCTCTGTGACTTTGTTGTTAGTGTATAGGAATGCCATTGATTTCTGAGTATTGATTTTGTATCCAGCCACATTTGCTGAATTTATTTATTATATCTAGGAGTCTTTCAATGGAGTTTGGGGTCTTCTATGTTGAGTATCATGTCATCTGCAAATAATGATAATTTAATTTCTTCTCTTCCTATCTTTGCCCTTTTTTTTTGTCTTTTTCATTTCTTGTCAAATTGCTCTGGCTAGTATTTCCAGTACTATATTAAATAGGAACAGTGATAAGGGACATCCTTGTCTTGTGCCTGATTTTGAGGTAAAGGCCTTCAGTTTTTGGCCAGTTAGTATGATACTGGCTGTTGGTTTGTTGGCTTTTATTATATTGAGGTAAAGACCATCTATTCCAATTTTCTGTAGGGTTCTTATCATAAATGGATATTAGACCTTATCAAAAGCTTTTTCTGCATCTATAGAAATGATCATGTGATTCTTACTTTTGGCTTTATTGATTTGGTGGATTACATTTATTGATTTACGTATGCTAAACCATTCCTGCATGCCTGGGATGAATCCCACTTAGCCATGGCGTATGATCTTCTTGATGATTTGCTGCATCCTATTTGCCAATATTTTATTGAAGATATTTGCATCTGTGTTCATTAGGGAGATTGGCCTGTAGTTATCTTTTTTAGTCGTGTCTTGGGTTTTTGTACTAGACTAATATTTGCTTCAAGGAATGACTTAGGAAGGATTGCTTCCCTTTCGATTTCATTGAAGAGTTTGAGGAATGTCGGCATTAAGTCTTTGTATTTCTTGTAGAATTCTGCAGTGAATCCATCTGGGCCTGGGCTCTTCTTTGTAGTTAAGGACTTAATTACATTATCAATTTCATTAATAGAAATTGGGTTACTCAGCAGTTTTACATCTTCTTGACCTAGCTTTGGTACTTTATGTTTCTAGGAATCTGTCTATTTGTTCTGTGTTTTCAAACCTATGAGAGTAGAGGTTTTCAAAATAGGTGTTGATGATCTTCTGTATTTCTATGGAGTCTATAGTGATTTCACCTTTTTCATTCCTTATTGCATGAATTTGAGCTTTTTCTTTCCTTTTTAAAAATAACATTGGCTAGGGGCTTATCAATTTTGTTTATTTTTTCAAAGAACCAACTCTTTCATTCATTGATTCTTTGGATTATTTTCTTAGTCTATTTCATTAATTTCTGCTCTGATTTTTATAATTTCCTCTCTTCTTTTAGCTTTGGGCTTGACTTGCTCTTTTTTTTCTAGATGTTTGAGGTGTAGCATCAGGTTATTTATTTGTATTTGTTTTGTTTTCCTGATATGGAAACTTAGTGCAATAAATTTTCCTCTGAGAACAGCTTTCATTGCATCCCACAGATTCTGGTAAGTTGTATTTGTATTTTCGTTTGCTTGTAGGTATTGTTTAATTTCTTCTTTAATTTCCCCTGTGAGCCACTGATTACTCAACAGTGTGTTATTCAGTTTTCATGTGTTTGCTGTATCTTTTATCATTAATTTCTAATTTCATGGCGCTATGATCTGATAACATGCATGGGATAATTTCAACTCTTTTGCATTTATTTAAATATGTTCTGTAGGTTAGATTATGGTCTATTTTCGAGAATGACCCATGTACTGCTGAGAAGAATGTGTATTCTGATGTTGTTGGATGGAACACTCTGTATATATCTATCAAGTCCATTTGTTCACATGTGTGATTCAGTTCTGTTATTTCTTTGCTGATTTTCTGTCTGGTTGATCTGTCCCTTGGTGTCAATGGTGTGTTAAGGCCTCCTGTTATAATTGTGTTACTCTAATTTGGTTTTTCATTTCTGTTAATACTTGTTTTATATAACTAGGTGCTCTGGAATTTGGTGCATATATTTTTAAGATTTTTATCTCTTCCTCTTGAAGTTTTCCCCTAACCAGTATGTAATGACCTTCTTTATCTCTTCTGATCATTATTGGTTTGAAGTTCACATTGTCTGCAAACAGAATAGCTACCCCCACTTTTTTTTGGTTCCTGTTGCATGAAGTATTGTTTTCCATCCTTAGACTTTCAGTCTGTGAGTTTCCTTTTGGGTTAGATGGGTTTCTTATAGACAGCATATGGTTGGATGTAGTTTCTTGATCCATTCTGCCAATCTGTTTCTTTTAATTGGTGAATTGAGACCATTTACATTAACGGTTATAACTGTTATATGTTGGTTTATTGTTGACATGTTATCTTTCTGCTGTTGAATCTTTATCTTTCCATTCTGTTTAATTGTCTGCTTTGCTTAGTTATTTTTTCCTAAGTTTATCTAAACTGTTTTTCAGTATTTTTTGCAGGGTTGGCTTGGTGATCATGAAGTTCTTCAGCTGTTCTTTGTCATGGAAGTATCTTATTTCTCTGTCAATTTTGAAGGACAGTTTTTCAGGGTACATCAGTCTAGGTTCGAAATCATTTTCCTTTAGGATCTGAAATACTTTATGCTTTTCTTAACTTTATTGTTTGTGCTGAGAAGTCTGCTGTGATTCTGATAGCTTTTCCTTTATAGGTGATCTGTCTTTTCTCTCTGACAGCTTTTAATATTCTATTCTTATGTTGGATTTCTGGGATGGTGATTATTGTATGTCTGGGTGTAGTTTTATTTTGGTTATGACTATTTGGAGTTCTATATGCTTCACTGATCCTGATGTCAGTTTCCATTCTCATGTTTGGGAAATTTTCAGCTATTACTTCTCTAAATATCCTCTTGACATCCTTTATGTTGTCCCCTTCTTTTTCATTTATCCCTACCAATTGTATGTTGTTTTTCTTTGTGTCATCTTGCAGCTGTTAAATTATTTCCTGATTCTTTGTTATTTTTTAAAAATCTTGCCTTTCCTGTTCACTAGCTGAAATCTTGTCTTTGAGGTCTGAAATTCTATCTTCACTTTCATTGAGGCGGTTTTTGCAACTTTCAATGGAATTTTTCATTTCCTGTGTATCTGTTTGCATCTGCTTTATATATTCTGTTTGTTTCTTATATTGTTCATCCAGGGATTCTACCTTTTTGTTTAGTTCCTCCAATTTTTTAACTGTGTCTTCTTTAGATATGTTCAGCATCTCTTTGATTTCTTTTATCATTTCTTCTTTTACCTGGGAGATTATTTCTAGTTTGAATTCCTTTAAAGCTTCCTGGAATTACTTCTTTATTTCAGTTGCTATTATTTCAGGTATTTCAGGTGTATGGCATATATTTTCTTTAATGTACATAGCTCCTAAGGTTTCTTGGGATTGGCTGAAGGTTTGAGATTGCATTTTGGTCTTTCACTTTGTCATTTTCCTATATTTCTGTGCTTCAAGTATTGTTCCATGGCTTCACCTGGATGTGTTGGAAATCGTCTCCTGTGCCCTAGGCTCCTGGGACTGAATGGAAGTTGCTGAGTCTGATTCAGTTAGGCCCTCAGGCCCTTCCGTGCCACCTTCAGTGTTCCAGGTAGCCGGGCAGGCACCTAACCACTATGGATGATGGGTTAAAGCTCTCCCCAGATGAAGACCAATGCCCTGGAAGTCACTTCACCTGCTCTCAACTCCTGTAATTGAAGAAAGTCACTGGGCATAATATAGTTGGTCCATAGAACCTCCCACGGTTAGTCTAGTGTGCCTGGGCTCTGGGAAGGTCCTTGAGCTTCAGAAGAGATGATCTTAAAGTCTCCTCTAAACTCATAGATTTTCAAAATGATTCTTTTGGTGTAAAAATCAGGATCTGTATCAGGCCTGCACATTGCAACTGATGTCTTTTTTGCCTTGTTTAATCCACAAATTCCTCTACCTTGTGTTTTTCTCATTGTATTGCCTCTTCCTCTAGCTAAGGTACAGTAGTTACAACTAATAACTAATGTAGTTATTTTTATTTGATCAAGAAACTGAGCCATGAGTTCTGCAGTTTCCTGTATTTTGCCAATAGCAACCTCATATTGTGTTTTAACATGTGCTTCTGTTGTCTGTACAGTAACAGCTTGGTTCACAAATGTTTGTGTTTATGAGCAATTTGGTTTGCAAACAGCTGTATTTGGCAAAATTTTGCTTTCATTTGTGAGTTCTGTGTTGGACAATGAAAATTTCAACCATCTTTCCCACATCTTCTCTGGAACTTTGAAATGAATTAAATCTGTGAACCGAGGAATGTATTTCTTGTTAAGTGGAAATGGATCTAGGAGAGGTCATCACAGAGGCGGGTTGGAGTCACAGGCCTGCATGACTGGCCTAGTCTGGGGACATTAGCTCTGCTGACATGCAGTGTCCAGACCCAATAGTTCATCTGGAGCTGAAGATGGTGATTTTCTAATCCTACCATTCCTTCTTTTGAAGAATTCAACTTCTCCCACTCTTGTGTTTACTTTTTGGTTATTCCATGATAGTTTTTTTTTTTTTTAAGAAAAAGACCAAGTAAATGCTCACTTCTTTCCCTCTATATTCTTTATATTCCCTTTATATTCCCTTTATATTCTTCTTCTTTTTAGGATGAGTTGGTTCTCTAATACACTACAATAGTGCCTATTAGTTTTTAAAAATTATTACAAATGGCTGTGGCAGTGTTTCTCAAAATACAGGTGAGGGTCACCTGCATTCTACTTGTTAAAACAAATTTCTGGGTGTGGTGGTACAGGCCTGTAATCCTAGCACTTGGAAGGCTGAGGCAGGAGGATTGCTGTGAGTTCAAGGCAATCCTGAACTGTATAGCAAAACCCTGTGTCAAAAAACAAACAAAACCAAAAAACATCCAGAAAAACAAAAAGTACAAGTTTCTTGGCCAGGATGTGTCTTTTCAGACAAGATTCTCAGAGATGCTTGGGAGTCACTGCCTGTGACCTCTTCAGTTTAAACATCAAGGCCATTCAAGCCTTGAAGTTTCCCTGACTGAGCAGCTTGCTGCAGTTGCCCTTAGGTCACTATGGGGACCTGACCCCCTAAAGGAAGGTGAGTGGGAGAAGTCATGTTAAAGCAGCTCTGTCAAGAGGCCCTGCCACTCACCATGCTCCATTCTGTGCTAAACCATTTGGCTCCACAAGGCTTAAGGTGGCAGGACTGCTGGCTGGGCGGCCGCTCCAGGAAGGCACACTCGAAGGGGTCCAGCACTGCAAAGGTGTCTGCGTTCTTCCTAACGCAGATTACCTCCCGCTGCTGCGTCCCGCTCCCACACTCAATGGAGCACTGCAGGAACAAGCAGAGAAAGATAGTGTCATTTGATGGGCGGGGAGGCGACGAGAGCAATGTCCGTCAACGTTGGTTGCAAACGGTTATATTTGGCAAAATTTTGCTTTCATTTGTGAGCTCAGTGTTGGACAATGAAAATTTCAGCCATCTTCCCCACATCTTCTCTGCCAATGTTCGGTGGCAACATCCGTGCTGCCACCGACCCAGTGACGGAGAACTGCAGGGATCTGAACACATTTCTGTAGGGGAAGCTGCATGTGGATTCTGAATTTCCTAGCAGCTCTGTCCCCAGCTCAGAGACTCAGTGGCCTGCTCTGTCAGATCCTGAGGACACCAGTCACCCAAATCATGCTGCCATCCGTGCTGGTGTGAACAGCTCCCCTCGAACTCTCTACGGCAAACACAGCCAGGTACTGTGGTGGTTTCTGCCCAGTGCACTCTGACAGCTCTCAGAGGTGTCGCAGCAAGGAGCTGACGCTGTGGTTTTATCTACTGGTCCCTTGGGGGGTAGACAGTTAGGGCTCGGATTAGGGTGTTAGCACCCAGAGTTGTCGACCTGCTCATAAAGGGCTCAGATACACAGAGGGAGAGGAGCACCCCAGACGAGGGGCAATGTTCTCCGTGCTGACCCTGCCTTCCCCAAAGGGAGTCGGCAGGAACTTTGTCCGTGGTGTGCTCTACTTTTCCTCAGAAAGTGGCTGAAGCCCACGCATGTGGTGCCCACAGAGGCCAAGCAAGTGATGAGACTGCAGGCACATTCTGTTAGACCATGAAAACTGGCTGCTCATAGATAGTATACTCTGGTTTGTAAAATGTTTTTGCTCATGTGTGGTTTAGGCTGCCCTTGAACTCACTCTTCGGCCCAGGCTGGCCTCGAATTTGTGGCGATCCTCTTGCCTCAGCCTCCTCAGTGCTGGGATTACAGGTAGGGCTACCATGCCCAGCTGAAAAAGCCTTTTTTTTTTCTTTTGCAATTGTTTTCTTCACCAGGGTGAAGGTAAATGAATAATTTTATTGTTCTTGACTTCTATTGCCACTTCGCTTTCCAAAGAACTTATGTCAACTGAGAAGAACAAGGCAGCTAATTTTTTAAGGTCTGCTTTTAAAGTTACTTAAAAGAAATGCAATTCTCTATGGTGCGAGAGGCCCCACACATACGTGCATGAGGAGCATGGGCCTGGATGTCCCTGTAGAGCCGGGCAGCACCGTGAGCCAAACGCTAAGCGGCCAAGAGCTGGAACGTGGCAGGCATCGTAAGGGGCAGGCAGAGGATGACTGTCCCCACTTCCCTACAGGACTCATGCAGTACTGGAACAGGGAGTGTGGAGAACCACCCAGATGGCTCCGTGAAAAGATGGCAACCATCTTCATTTTGGATAAACTTGGCCCTAGCCCTATGTATCCATATATACAGAGCTGGCTGGGTTATTTCCTTGTCCCTTCAATTGGCTTTAAGCGATGTGAACGGGGCTGGCTGAGGAGCTGATGTGTAATCTCTGAAGCAAAGCAACAGGTCAGTGTCACCATGCCCAGTGACTCCCCAAATACATGCTCGAGCCGGGCGGGAAGGAGAGCCATGCTCCACTCTGTTGACAGGGACCCAGCCTTGAGAAAGAGGCTAAGATTTCCCAGGGCAAAAAAGATTGTACTTCGGAACTGGAGCACCAACCCCAAATGATTACCTCAGTGGTGATGCAGATCGCTCTCTGCATTTCTTGCCCTCTGCAATTGCAGAGGCGGTCTCAGACCTTGTCATGGTTTATGTCTATGGCCCCCAGGCCTCATGCCTTTGCATTGTGCATTTGTGATTGGTTCATTGTCTAGTGCTGGATTGATGGTGTCAGTGCTACACCCAGGGGATGTGATTTAATGGCAGGAAGAAGGTGTGTCTTGCTCTTTTGCTGATTTCTGCCTTGCCATTTGCAGCCGCCATAAACTACGGCCCCGCCATGCCATGCTGCCTTGGAGCAACTGAGTGTGGACTGAAACCTCCCAAAACTATAAGAAATAAACCTTTCCTTTCTCAGCTTTGGTCATCAGGTATTTTGTCTCAGCAATGAGTAAAAAAATAACTAAGACAGACCTCCTGCCAGGCCACTTGTGGTAGTCACATATTTCCCACCACTCTTGCTATCACCCATCACCGAGCCACTCCCCTCATGGAGAGTTAATAAACCCCGGTGGGGCTCTAGGTCAGGGCCTTGTTCCAGTGAGCCATCATATTGGCTGGACTTAGGACCCCTGGGCTCCTGTAACTGTATATATGTCTCAGTGTCTTTCTTCTTGTCTTGGTTTGCACTGGAAGTGGTAGATTAGAATTAACTCACTAGAATTCCAATAACTTTGCCAAGGGATTACAAATATAAGCCTTCCTGGACTGTGGCAAGGATGGGAAAGGGATCTCCATAAGGCAGGGAAAAAATGAACTCATCAATTTTTTACCAAGCACGTGGTGTCACATGACTTTACATAGCACTGTCATCTCCAGCGTCGTGGGGACAAGGAAACTGTAGCCCGTGCTCAAGTGAGTGCTCTGTAGGTACCGACTGAGTACCACTGATGCCGGAGGCACTCGCAGCACAGGTAGCCATGGTCACGGGTAGCAGTGACACAGCTGGACTCAAAGCTGCAGTCCGAGCCGTGCCTCTCATCAGGGGCAGAGCCCTCGCCGGCCCCAGTCCCAGCCACTCACCTGGCTCCAGCTCCCTGAGAACCACTCCACCTTGCCTGTGCAGGGCCCATTGTCACACGGGGTGGCCTCGGCTGGCCGGTTGTTCCCACAGCCCTCCAGGGGCAGACTGCTGACGTGGTTGGTCATGCAAACCACGGAGCGCGTCCGCACGCCGGCCCCGCACTCTGCCGAGCACTGTGGGGCAGAAGGAGGGACGTCAGAGGACAGACATGTGGCCCAGGGGGTCCTTGGAGGTGCGGCACTGCTCCTGACTCCGTCTTCCCCGACTTTGTACTCATAACTGTGGCTCGCCCCTTGTGGACCCTTTTGCTTGCTTCTTTTCTTACTTTTTGTTTCTGGTTTTATGTTTTGCTTTGTTTTGTTTTTTGAGCCAAGGTCCTGCTCCCTCAGCCTCCTGAGTGCAGGGATTGCAGGCATGCACCACCACACCAGGTCACTTTCCTGACTTTTTGAGACGGGGTCTCACTCTGCACCCCAGGCTGGCCTTGAACTCAAGGTTTGGGAGCCCAGGCCACTGGGAGGGGCACAGGATTGGAGTGGTTTTTAGTTACTCAAAAGCCGAGAGGGCATCACCATTGGCTGAAGCCTATTACAGGGCGACAGGCACAGAACACAGGCCGTGTGACGCCGTGTCACTGCCTTGTTAGCTGTTTCGCTGTTTAAGGAAGACACGGCGAGCTCTCTACCCGCCCACTCCGCAGTCCCCAGGCCCCAGTCCTCCAGGGAGGACGCAGCCCGGAAGAATGGACCTCAGCCGTCCCTCCACATCACCCCGTCAATCGGCCCTGGGGTCCCCTCCAATGCCCCCCCCCCCCCCCAAGCCGGGACCTGGCGCATACCCTCTCGCTCCACTCGGTGAGGAACCAGCTCTTGGCGCAGGGCCCCATGTCGCAGTTCTCAATGTCGTTGGGCCGCAGCTTCATGTTGCACTCCTCGTCCGCCACCACGTCCCCCAGGTTGCTCACGCACTTCACGTCCCGCGTCCTCTGTCCCACGTCACAGGGCACAGAGCACTGGAACACAGCGAGCCCACGTCAGTGCCGGGAGGGCCAATTGTGTATCCCCTACCCCTGGCCTGGGCAAGGCTACTTGCATTGCGGGAGTCCCCTGCAATGCAGGGACTTGCAGGAGTGGCCTTAGGGAATCTTGTCTACTTCCTTCCTCTGGGCCCTGGTTTTTCAATCCATTAAATAAAGCAAACTTAGAAAGAGTTGGCTCTGCTTTTTTTTGTTTGTATTTTATTTTGAGACAGGGTCTCATTGTGTAGTTCAGGCTGCCTTTGAACTATGTAGCCCAGGCTGGTCTCGAACTGATGGTAATCTTCCTGCCTCAACCTCCTGAGTGCTGGAATGACAGGCGTGTGTCACACCATGGCACATGGGACCGACAAGGTCAGTAGACACAGGATCTGTGGGCTCCCTGCGAGGTGGGCTGCGGGTGAGCTGCACTGCCTGGACCCTGTCCAGTTGCTGCTGTAACTGTGATCTGTGAACACAGCTGGCAGGTGCCTCTGGGATGGTTCCTCATGGGGTACTGAGGATTCCTCAGCTCTGATCCTGGTACAGGGGGATGGGAGGTGGGGACAGGAAAGGAGGAGAGGGAAGGAAAAGGGGCCTGGAGGAGAGGGAAGGGGGAGGGGAAGGGAACAGGGAAGAAGGAGGGGGAGGGGAGGGCCGTACTGAGGTCCAGTCCGTGCGGATCTGCCACTCGCTGCAGATCTTGAGCTGGCAGGTGCTGGTGGTCTCAGGCTTCTCCAGGTGCTGGCAGCGGTAGGGCTGCACCGTGAGGCTGCGGTTGGCATACACCTGGCGGCACAGGACCTGCCGGTGCTGCATTCCCAGCCCGCAGGTCTTGCTGCACTCGGACCACTCGCCGATGTCCCAGCTGGCTCAGGAGGGGTGGGAGGGAGACAGAGGCTCGGGTTAACGGGGGTGGGCGCTCAGCCCAAGCACACACGGGGTGGGGTGGGGGTCCTCCAAGAGCATCACTGGCGCCTGTCTGGCAGTCACAGGATGCTGGAAGGAGGTGGCTGTGTCCCACACGTGGTCTACCAGTGATGGGCCACCTTCCACACACACATATAGAAAATGGAGAAGGTATACGTGACTTCCATCTAATAAGCAAGCCTGAAAACCCCAGCACTGTTGAGCCTAGTTTATTCCCTGTGGAACATGAACCCATTTGGGAATTGTTTACATGTCAGTTTCCACATCCCCCACCCCTGCTTCCACAAGTCTACTCTCACGAATTACTTGTTTTGTTTTGAGACAGGCTTTTGCTATGTTGCTCAGGCTGGCTTTGAATTTGTGGAGATCCTCCTACCTCAGCCTCCTGAGTGCTAAGATTAGAGGCAGGTACCACTACACCAGGCTTCTTATTAATTACTTAAATGAGATGGCAGCATGTGCTCATTCTGAATCCAGATGGGAATTAATTGTGTTTTGGCCTGTAAGGGCCTTTCATCCTGTTCTTCTGGAGGTATCCTGTGTATCACAACAACCTCCAGAGCCAGCCCCCCACTCTTCCTGTCCCCTCCAGATGGCCCGTCATGCCTTATCTCCGTGTTCCGCACCCTTCTTCCTCTGCTGTCCTACCCAGGTGAAACCCGATTGTGGCCCGATCTGCTTCTAAGGGCTCAGACCAGCCACCTGCCACCCAGAGGCCTAGACGCAGCTGCTGCTCTTACAAGGCTGGGCAGGGAAAGAGGTTGCAGGGCTCCTCCTCGGGGGTCGGCTTCATGCTGGGGTCACAGTAGGTCTCAGGAACCTCTTCGTGGGTGTTTCTGTTCACACAGCGGAAAATCGGGTACTGTGATCCTAGAAGACATGGCCCGAGGGCCTGAAGTCATCCTGCCCTGTTGAGAGTCAGCCCTGGTGCCAGTGCCCGGGTCTTTGCATCAGGAAGGGAGCCCTAGGACCAGCCAAGATGACTGTCCCTGCCTCCCCTTCAGCCCTGTCCCAGGAGCAGTGGAGCCGTGGGCATTCAGTATGGTTAGTACATGTTGCTGAGTATTTATCAGAGGTATAGTACTTATGTTTAGGACCTTGCTTAAAAACACCTAAAACAGTCTCAGGGTTTTGTTTTAAATTCATAACCTAGTTCTGTCATTTAATAAGGATAAAATTATTTGGGGTAAAAAGTCAGAATTTGGGCCATTAGTGGACTGCAGGGGAAGAGAACAAGAAGTCAACAAGAAGCAATCCCTCCCTGTGAGGTGGTGCCATGCGTGGACAGTTGGTGGCAGAACTGGACACCAGCTCCTTCCGGCCCTCGGGCTGAGAGATAAGAATAGCCACCTGCCACCCCTGTCACAGCTGATCAGGAGACACACAGGCTGTGATGAGAGCTACTAAGGCAAAATACAATGTAATGCTTGTAGTGTTTAGTGTTTCACCGACTTCACAGGTCTAAGGTCGGTACCCTGATCACCTATTCAGATGATAACATTACACAGTGCAGTATCTATGGGGGCTATCCTCCTGAAGGTGGTAGCCATTGTTAATTCCCTATCATCTTGTTTTGAGGTCCTTATCATTTGCATTGTTTTGTTGGGTTGGGTTTTATTCTGTTTTGTATCTGATGGTATAAGCAGCTATTTCAAAGATAACAAGATATATTATGGTAGCCACTTTGGATTTACTATTATCTTGCTTTGAAGTCCTTTATTGTGTTCATGTTTTGTTTTTATTGGTTCTATTCTGCTCTGTCTTGTTTGATTTTTTACTATGATGGTACGGAGAGCTACTTTGAGGACAACAAGAGGTATTATGGTAACCACTGTTGATTTCCCTATTATCTTTTTTTTTTTGAGACAGGGTCTTGCTGTGCAGTTCAGGCTGGCCTTGAGCTCACTTTGTAGCCTAGGCTGGTCTTGAACTCCAAGCGATCCTCCTGCCTCAGCCTCCTGAGTGCTGGGATTAAAGGCGTGAGCCACCATGCCGGATTGATTTCCCTATTATCTTGTTTGAAAGTTCTATAAAACTTCACACTGGTTTTGATTGGCTTTATTCTGTTTTATTTTGCTTGGTTTTATTCTCTTTAAAATAAAAATTTAAAAAAAGTCAGAATTTGCTAAGCAAAATTCTGGCTCTGTAGTTTGCCTTTCTGTCTCTGCTGCCATCTGCTGGTAGAATGAGAGCACTACTAACAAACAGTTCAGGAAGCGAGAAAAAGTAACAGAACACAAGGCGACATCCCGCCAGCCACCCTCACACAGCTGTCCACCTCTGCCCTGCCCTGGTGTAGCTGGTACACAGCTCCTACTGGGAAGAACACTATCATTTATTCCAAGATTCTGCTTTCTCTTGCTAACCGGCCAGGCATTTGCATTTTTTGGACCTCCAATTTTATAAATTTAACTGTAACATTAAAGCTACCTTGTTTTGCTTTGTCTCACTGTGTAGCCCAGGCTGGATTTGAACACGTGGCGATCTTCTTGCCTCAGCCTCCTGGCTTGCTGAGATTATCAGCGTGCACTGCCACGCCCCACATAAGAGCAACTTTTTTTTTTTTTTTTTGTCTTTTTCTTTTTTATCAGTACCTGGGATTGAACTCACGACCACACAGTTGCAAGGCAGGCACTTATGCCGCTGAGCTAAATCCCCAGCCCCATAAAGAGCAACTTTTAACCTAAGCATATTGCTAGGTTACCTGCCAAGCAAGCCCTCCCCAGATCCTTCTCGTGTACCACACAGAGAGTCAGAGGGCAGTTGCTGCAAGGAACTCGACAGTTTGTAAGACACATTTGAATCTGAATTTGTTTAAATTACTCCGGTGGTAAAAATTTACATGGCAGCTATAACTTGGGACCATTAGTTAAAATAATATTTCCATTAAGCCTAATTGTTAGCTAAATAAAAAAGCAGTCTTGACTGTAAAATTAATGAGAAGCGAAAACTTTTGTGGGATTAAATTTGATTCAGCTACATATCTCTTGCCATGAAAGAGATTTTAGTTACATTCAGCAAACATTAAGCGCTGGGCTAGTTATAAAAATGACTGGGTCTCAGTTCACCACATGCAGTGTACCTACCTGGGACTTGGCTATTAAGGGATTAAGCACAGATTTTGTGTTGCCTGTTCCTCTCCCTCCAGGTCATGTGGCTTTGACTTTCCTGCTTACCAGTTTGCAGATGGGAAAGCAAGGGTCCTGTCCCAACCAATTGCCACTCATAGGGGGACCCCTAATGCTTTTAGCTAAGGGGATACGGGACACCATAGGGTCATTCAGTGTCTACAAGGACAGGTCTCCTGGGACTGGGTGGCAGGGGGCTGCTGTGTGTCTCCCACGCTCCCCCTGTCCGTGGTCCAGCTCTATGGAAATGAACCGAGGAAATCAACTCAGAGGCCCTTGGTTTCTCCAATGGTGAGAAAACACCAGATCTACAGCTCTGGGCTCCAGGGATGCAACAGTTTCTTTCCCTGGGTCAATTTAAAACTCTGCGGAAAGGAGGAATGTCCCTCACATGGCACCTGGACACCCCATGTTGTCTGGCATCATGATCTAATGCAGTCAGGGCTGGGGAGCACAGGGCTGGTGCCAGCTGGGCTTCAAACTGCAGGACGAATCTGAGGTTGGTTTTTCGGCTCATGTATGAGCACGTGGGTCAGAAGAGAAATATGTTATGTTGGAGATGGGCACTATGCCATGGGTAAGGAGCAGGTAATAAATAGGATGATCTGGAGAACTCAAGGTGGGGGGCATTGGGGAGGCTAGCTAGATAAAAGAGACACCCCCAAAATATTAAATAAATCTAGAGCTGAAACTGCAGGAGTCAGGAAGTGAACCAAGCCAGGGTTTTGACAGAGATCAGGGTGGGGCACTGTTGAGTATGGTTCCCCTGGGGATGTCCGAGAGGACAGGGCTGTGATCGGAAGGACACTGCGGGCAAGACTCAGACACACGTGGTACAGGCTGCACCTCCCGCCACCCAGGGAGGAGCTTTGTAAGGGGCAGATGCAGTCCCTGGGGTGTGGGCTGCGTGGTGCAGGAGAGCCGGGTGGGCTTGGTGCATCTTGCTCCAACGCCTGTCACTGCTGTGACAATGTGAGGCAATGAGAGCTACAGGCTTCAGGCATCCACCTCCTTTCTCCATTTTGCCTGTTGTCTGCATGTTTGGGGGCAGCAGAGGAACACTCATGTGCTGCTGCCATTGTCAGTGGGAAGAGAAAGGGCGCTAGGACCATCGGAGAGGGCAGGGGTGGGGGCAACATCTCCCCACTTCCCCTCCGAGGCTTCTTTTTGGCTTGAAAACCAGGGCCACTTAGTGGGGTCAAGAAGAAAATGGACACGTCGCATCTTAGACGCTGCATGGCAGGCATCTGGTGGGGGGACTCTAGGCTAAAGGTTCAAAATGAATCTAAGTGTTCCTCACAGTCTAGCAGCAGAGTGGGGGAGGGAGACAGCAGGAGCAAGGTTAGAGTGAGACAGACAGAGACGGACAGCCACATACCCAGTGTGTCCCAAGGGTGTAACAGTGAAATGCTGCCGTAGAAGACTAAATGCAGTCATATGGGAACTTAGAGACAAAGGTGCTACAGTTTTAAATACAGAACCCGCATGCTTCTTCTTTTTCTTTTTAACTTTTTTTGAGACAGGGTCTTGCTATTGTAGCCCAGGCTAGTCTCGAGCTGGTGGTGATCCTCCTGCCTCAGCCTGCGGAGTGCTGAGATGTCACAGGTGCACCAGTATGCCCGGCTAAAACTCACATTCTTTCTGCTACCAACAGAACATGGGTAAAGGCAGAAATAGGCCTGAACATGTAGAATATAATAAAGATGTCACTCCTCCCCCACATCTTTTCTTACAGTTCCTATAACCTCCTCCTGAACGGTGGTGATGATATATTGACTTATTCCAGACCCACTGAGGGTGCCTACTGTGCCCCGCTGTGACTCCAGGTGCAGAGGCCGCAACATGTCCCAAACTGCTGTGAGTCCCCAGGACACAGTGCCTGCCTGCATCCTGCAGAGCAGGAAGGCAGCATCTGAGTTGGGTCTTGGAGCTGTTTGCTGACCAGACGTCAGAGGATGGTAAAGGAGGGAGAGGTTTTCCTTTTGGGGTGGGGGCTGGGGATTGAACTCGGGGCCTTCACACCAAGCCACAACCTCAAATTTTTTAAAATTTTGAGAAAGGTCCTTGCTAAGATGCCCAGGTAGGGAGGGAGAGCTTTTAGCTCTGTGTGGATCATACAACCAGGGTTGAATCAGGGGGCCAAAGTTACCAGGGTGGATACTGGGTTGCTCCATTGCTACAGGAGAGGGTGGGGTCTGTGGAATTAGCACAGTGGGGAGCAGGTAGCTTCTGACCAGGGAACACGCTGCCTGCAGGGCAGGTGGGCAGCTGTGCCCACCTCTGCATTTACCTCATTTGGTCTGCAGCACAGTACCTTAATCTCCCTGGACAGGCCAGCCCTGTAGAAATCCATACCATGGCACCTTCCTACCCAACTCCCTTTCTCCCCTAGGCCTGAGTGTATCTGGTTTCTGTAGTGGACATCACACCACTACCTAAACACCTAATACTTCAAAATAATGCATTTTGATCTTTGTGCCTGTATCGACTGCATAATGTATTTCTTATTTCTACTGTGTCATGGGTGGAATCTTATTAAAATGATTTTTGGCTTCAATGTGGAATTATCTCTCACTTTCTGACTCTGCCAAGACACAATCTAAGGCATTTAATTTTCCCTCACAGAGCTTGTAAAAGAAGCCAGTTCAGTGACTCTCTGGTTCACATTCTTAGCACATGTATCAAGTATGAACACAATAAAATTGGTGCAATAAAATCTCTTCAAATTACTACTCCAGTCACCGAGTCATTATGTAATTGGACAGAAAGATCCTCCGGTTCTCAAAAGAACCAAGACCTAGATCGTATTCTCCAAAGCCCCAACCCAATGCTTCTATGAAAAAACATAAAAGTTTTAGCAGCAGTTGTGAGTTTTCCATATGTTAATTATGTCAATGCTTCGGAACATCACACCCTCAGATCCAAGGCTCTTGAAGAAAAGAAAAAGAAAAGAAAAACTTGCCAAACCAATACTCTGCATGGATCGCACTGTTTGTGAAAATCCTGGGGGTTCAGCCTTTCTGTTTCTACAGTGACTTCCCCCGCAAAGACAGCTGGATCAGGGGGCCAGACAGAACTTTGTTATAAATGACAGACATTGTCATACATGGGAAGGGCACTTCAGCTGCACATTTCATAGATGTTTCCTTGCAAAAAGATCTAGATTGTAAGCTCTGTGAGGGAAAATTAAATGCCTTAGATTGTGTCTTGGCAGAGTCAGAAAGTGAGAGATAATCCCACATTGAAGCCAAAAATCATTTTAGTAAGATTGCACCCATGACACAGTAGAAAGAAGATCTCTGAAACAGGAGAAGCATCGATCTCCAACCGAGGGTCTCTGTGTCATTTAATGAGGGTCTAGATACTGCACCCCACATGGATCCTAACTTGGGACTTCCCAAGGAAACAGGACCCTGGGTCTGCGCCCCAGTTCAGACTTGACACACAGCCTTGCTTTGTTTTGAGCCTAACAAAATCCAGCTTTGGTGAAATTTCTCTGAAACTCTCCTCACCTCCCAAAGCCTGGAATTGTTCTCTTTTGTTCAGGGAGACATTTTTCAGCCTCCCTTTCGCTTGGAGTTAAGAGCACTGGCTTTGTTGGGCTACAGGTTTGTCCCTGGTGGTCCTCGCTAACTTGGGGTAACTGATGAACCCACAGTTAAGACTTTATTGGGAGAGTATAGAAGGGAGTTGGTCCCTTCTGAAATCTTTAAATTTGAAGTATCTTTTTGGTTGTTGCTGAGAACCTTAGATTTGAGAATGAGATTCAAAGTGCATTTTTGTAAGTTATCCACAACCTAGACTTGCACATACACCTTCAGACCTTGAATATGTGAGTGCATTCTGCGATTATTACTGAGAAACAATGTCCTATCAGGCTTAGCTCAGCAGGCCTGGGCTAATATTTGTAGCCAGTGTGACCCTTGGCCAGCTGCTGCAGATGTGTGTACCCTTGGAGTATTCTTCCTGAGAGAGGTGTTTCTCTAACTGACAGTGTGGGCCCTGACATGTGGGTTTGATGGCACTATTTATGACAATGATGTGATTTACAATGAAGGCTGCTTTCAGATGCCTAAACCTTGGCCTTGACCTCTGGTTGGCTGAGGTCCGGGGTAGCTGACTGCCATGCCTATGTGACTCAGCCCCAGGAAAACCCTAAACCCAGAGCCTAGGGGAGCCTCTGGGGGTCACTGAGGGACTCTCAGGACCTGTAACATGACATGTCACACTGATGGCCCAGCTCACAGGCAGGTGCATGGAGGTGAGGGACTGCCTGGTCCCTGGAGCCCTCCCTTCCCACCTGGGCCCTGCAGGGGCCTGAGTCCCACACACAGACTCACCTTTCCCGCAGGTGGTGGAGCACTCTGTGATCCCCAGCTGTTTCCAGTTGTGATCCCGGCTCCGCCTCGGGGGCTGTGGTGCTGGGGGCACCGAGTTGTCTGGCTGATGGGAAGTGAATCTGTCCGGGTGTCTGACTGGGAAGGGCTGAGAGGCTTCAGAGGTGAAGATCTCCTGGGCTTCCCCACGCAGGTCCTCCTTCTCCTCGCCCCTGTCCTCCTTCTCTCTGCCTTCCTGGCTCATGCCTTCTGCTTCCAGCTGGCCATTGAGTGGCTCCCCTGGGACAGGCCAGTGACACACACACACAGCAAGACCAGGGTGGACACAGAATGGAAAGAGGGCACGGCTTCAACATTAGACATCACGGAGTGCGAGAGCATTTCTGCTCCTCAGGCGTGAGGTATTTAAGAGAAAACAGACACTAACTTCCCTAACACCCAAAATGTTATGGAAAATCAGAAAAGATGGATATCCCAACAAGAGAAGTGGGCAGGGGCCACGGAGGGGCAGTTCCCATAAAAAAAGCAACAGAAACACCTCAAAGTCATGCAAAAATACTCCATTCATAATGAAAGAAACATCTATGGAGACGAAAATGCAAACATTGATAGCTGTACCTGACAAGGACTAGAGAGTTCGGGAACTCGTAACTCCCTAAACCCCTGGCCAAAGGTGCGGGAAAAGACACTTTTATTCACTGTGAGTGAGCATGGAAGTAGATGCCAGTTTTTGGAGGACAGTTTGCCCTTAGCTACTAACACAGACATGGAGAGTCCTGGGATCCAGTGACTCAATTTCCAGAATTTTCATCAGCTTGACATTGTCATTCTTTTACATAAAGCTGGGCATTCACGTGCTGTTGCTAAAGTATTATTGGAAAGAGTAAAATAGTAGTGAAGACCTTACTGTTCACTGGTGGTAGGGGTTAAACTAGATGATGCTACATTTCATTTATTTTTAAAAGAATGCAGAAATATATGTTCTGACGGGTCACAGAGCACCAGTATGGTGACCACACAAAGGAAGCACAGGATTCACCCTTTGAACACATGTGGGGGGTCGCTTTCTGAGATACTAATGTATGTCTGGTTCTCTGTCTTTGCTCCCCTTCCTGGTCCCCTGGTCTGAGGGAGTGACCATGCCTTTGGATTTTTCTGACATCAGTGCTTTTGCAGGGGAGAAAATGAAAGCTGCTTGAAGTCAACAGCTTTCTCTTACTGCAGGCCAGCCTGGACTCTCAGGGAGGGGAAAGCGGAAGCCCAGAGGCACTGGCTGAAGGGGAGGCAAAGAAAGAGAAGAGGTGGAGAAGGCGGAGGCAGAGGAAAAGGAGGAAGAAGGACAGAGGAGGAGGGAGGAGGAAGGGACAAGAGAGAGTGTGTTGTCAGATAGAGAAGGAGGACACTTGGGCTTCTGAGCAGCTTACGTGGGCTGGGCAGCAGGAGGCCATGTCTGGGGTGGCACTGGGTTCCTGGAAGCCCCCTCCCCGGCTTCCTGAGCCCTAAGTATAGGCTGGAAGAGACATGGTCCTGTCCAGAAGGCTCCCAAGGACCCTCCTGGGGGTGCCCCAGTGGAACTGGTATGGAGAAAACTCCAGAGGGTACAGTCCATGGTCCTCTGAGACTCTGGAATCTTTCCTCTTACCTGGAGTGTAAGTGTGAGTGTGTGTATATGTGTGTGTGTGTGTGTGTGTGTGTGTGTGTGTGCGTGTAACTCCCATACTGACTGAAATTGAATTTTCTTTTTTACCAATTTCAACAGACTAAGGTTGAAATTGGATTAAATTGACTAATGAAAAATGATGATATTCGACATTTAACATTCGACATACAAATATCTGAGATTGCAGACAGAGTCAGGTCATCTGCAGATGTATTTGCACATAGATAGAAACAGCTTAGGCAGAATCCCATCGTGTTAAATTATAGAGATTCCTATGGGAAGGGGAGGGGGCAGGAGGCTGCTGCTTTTTAAAATTTTAATTTAAACTTTTTTAGAACAATTTTTGGTTCTCAGCAAAAGTGAGTGGAAGGTAGAGAGGTTCCCCATAGCCTCTGCCCCCCACAGCCTCACCACCCACAGCTTACATCACGGGGCACTTTGTCATATTGATGAACCTCACTGCCATGTCAGTGTCCCTGAGGGTCCGCGACCCACCTGGGGTCCACACTTGGTGACAAATATCGATGGGTCTGGACACATGTGAGCCGACGTGCGCCCGCCATTATGGTGTCATTCAGAACAGGACAGTGCCCCATGGTCCATGCTCTGCCCATTGGTTCCACTCCAGGCAGCCACTGCTTTTTTTTCTTAATTGCCTCTAGAATTCTGACTTTTCTAGAACTTCACATAGTTGGAATCAGTCAGGATGCAGCCATGTCAGACAGGCTTTCTTCACTTAGTAGCATGCATTTCAGATCCTTCTGTGTTTGGGGGGCTGGAAAGCTTTTTGTTTTTGTTGGGTTTTTTTTTTTTTTTTTTTGGTCTTTTTCCTTTTTATTGGTACCGGGGATTGAACTCACGACTGCCTGCTTGCAAGGCAGGCGCTTATGCCGCTGAGCTAAATCCCCAGCCCCTGGAAAGCTTTTATTTTCACCCCTAAAACGCTGTTCCACTATCTGGATGCAGTGCTGTGGATCCATTCACCCACTGAAGTGCATCACAGTGCCTTCCAGGTCTGGGCATTTATGGGGCAGGTGATTTGAATGTATGTTTTATTTTCCTTCAAATATTGTTCAAGCGTGTATCAGTTTAATAAAAAAAAAAAAACAAGGAAGCAAATTCTAGAGTTACTGTAGGACGCAGTGGAAAATGCTGGGGCTTTCTCCATCTTTTACAGAACTTTTAATTGGCTAATTAGAATACTTTGGGCTTTAAAATTTTAGAGGAAGATTAGAGCAACGGAAAGGAGGCTGGGCCTGCTGCTGTCCATGATACTATAAGACAGCACTGAATCGTCCCTGGATCTTAATTGGGTACGATGCCAAGATGGGGACCCAGTTTATTTGTCTCCCTCCACGTTCCCCCAAAGACCACTTTGGAATGTGCTTTGGTAGATGGGAGAAGTGTCCAGACAGGTTACTAACTTGCCTGTGGTGTGCAGCAAGGAAGCGGCAGATGTGGACTGACTGTCCTCCTGGTCTGTGGGCACAGAACAGACAGCCTGACTCCTGATGCCCCTTCTCCTCCCCTCTTTAAAAACTGACCCTTTATGACCTGTGCTGCCCCAGGCAGTTGACCCCAGAACCCTGCTACTCCCCATTGGCTGGACCCGTGGACCTTGACTTCAGTGGGTCCAATCATCTCTAAAAATCACCTACAGGTCACAGCAATTCTAGTATTTTCCATGAGATACTTGGTTTCTCAGACTGTGCATGCCTGCAAAGGGCATACTGATTCTCCATCTGGGCACTTGGAGTTTAGACAGCGTCCCATCCCATGTGCTGGGCACCTGCCACACTCTATCCCTAGGCAGCCAGGCCACTCCTCCCCATCCTGCGACAGTCAGATGATCAACCTACTCAAGTCACAGCCTGCAGAAGGCTGGACCAGCCAGCTCTGGCATCTGTCCCCATGGACAAGGAACCTAACCTCATTACGTTTCCATTTCCTTACCCTTCAAATGAGGCTGACAAGGCACTAGTCCTTCCCTCAGCACTGTGGTGAGATTTCAGAGATTGAGGGCCCAGTGCATGCGGGCTCCCGCTGTTCTCAGTACCCCCACAGCCTCCACAGGGCAGCAGGCCTGGGGTGATGGTTGCACAAAGCACAGCCCACCCAGCTCAGGGCCAGAGCTTCCTGCTTTGTCCACCAGTAGTGCATGCTGGGGTCCCCCAGCTGGACTGTTCCCTATGAACTGGCCATGCTTTTCCGATCGGTCAAAAGGTTATCAACAGATGAAGTGGAGAACCAAGAAAAACAAGCAAAATTAGGGAAAGGTTCCAATTAATTTCTAGAATCTATGACCTTATGTGGCAGAAGGCACTGTGCTGATGTGACCACAGGAAGGATTTTGAGATGGATTTTTTTTCTGTCGGGAGGGCCAAATGTAATCTTTAGTTTCCTTAGAAAGGAGAGAGACAGGAAGATGAGAAGCAGAGAAGGTGATGTGGTGATGGAAGAAGCCAGAATCCGAGGAGACAGATGGGAAGGTGGAGGAACCAAGAAGGGTCAGGAACCAAGAAGGCAGGGCCTGCTGGAAGCCGAAAAAAGGACAGAAGCTGCTCGTCCCCTAGAGCCATGAGCCCGGGCCTGCTGGCACCTTGAGTTTGGTCAGGTGAAACCCTTCCGACTCGGGACCTTCAGAACATCAGACAGTGAATGTTAGGTGGGAGGCACTTGGCTACAGTGGCAAGCGGAAACAAAGGCACTGCAAACAAGGATGGGAGTGGTGGGTGAGGACAGTCACTCAGCTTTTAAATCAAGTGCCCAGAGCAGTCTTAGTGCTGAGGCTTGGAAGAATACACAGCATGTGCTCCGACATCAACACTCACTGGCGTGATGTGGGTTTTCCCCACACTGCGTGAGAGACAAAGGGTGGACGCACAGGAAGGAGAGAGACAGAGAGAGAGAGAGAGAGAGAGAGAGAGAGAGAGAGAGAGAGAGAGAGAGAGAAGGGGGGACACACCATAAGAGGAGGTGACTTGACATGCTTCATGACCAAACAGGAATCCTACCTGGTCTCCTCTGCAGTGGCACCTGCGGGCTGATGGCATTGGTGCCCATGATGATGTACTCGTAGTGCACGCCAGGGTTGGGCTGCTGGTGGATCATCTGGTGACACAAAAGTCAGCATCACTGCACCTAGCACACATGCACAGCTCCTTTCCTGTTTCAATGGCACAGGCGGCAACCTAGTACTCTTAGCAAACCCATGACAAATTAAATGGCGTGATTTTCAGGGAGCTTCTTACCAATTACTTATTTGCACTTTTTGCTTTTTTTTTTTTAAGGGACAGGGTCTTACTAAGTTATTCTGGTTGGCCTCAAACTTGTGATCCTCCTGCCTCAGCCTCCAGAGTAGCTGAGACTACAGGTATGCATCACTATGCCTGACTCATGTGCTTTTGAAGAATGAAGACTTAATCCTGGAGTGACTCAGTAGGAAATAAGGCATGAGCCAAGCGTTTGCAAGTTCCAAGTAGGAAGCTACAAGCAAGCAACAGCAGCAGATCTTTTTTGCTGGCTCTCAGCTACCCGCTACCGTGGCGCAGGTTTGGCTCATTATCCCAAGTTGATAAATGTATTTATGCCGCAGGAGAACTGGTTCAAACACGAGGTGGGGGTGAGACAAAGAATCAGGCAAATGAGGCCGACACATCCTCGGCAGAGTGGGCCCTGGATATTAGGGTCCTTTCAAGTCCTACACCTGTCCAGAGAGGTTGGCTCAAGGTTGGCCATAGCTCTCTCCCTTGTTGGACCTCAGGTTCTGCTCCTCTTTCATCCACAGAAAGCCCAGATCCCTGAAGAGGCCAGCAAATAGTCACAGAGTGCTGTGGAGGTCGGCAGCTCGGGACAGAAGGACAGTCAGAAATGAGCATCTATTTCCTAAATGCCTCCCTGCCACGCTGCACCTTGTCCTTCATGGCCATGGCTGCCATGGGGGAGGAGGGTGGGCTACACAGGGCCATGCAACTTGAGTGTAACCTGGAAACAGGAGCCGAGCTATTTCTGCTACTTCTGCCTCTAGTGCTTTAGGAAGCTGCTCTGTGGATGACCAGCTGCGGGACCCAGAATACTGCCCTGAATGACATAGATCTTGATTTCTGCATCTGGAGAAGCAGGAGGTGAGAACCACAGCTCATTCCTTAGCTCTGTTGACCTACAAGTGTCTCTGAGACCCTGCGTGGGGAGGTCTGCCCTGAATCTTCCATTAACATTATCATTTCTCACCCTTCCTGACTATGAAGTGGGTCCCTGGGCCATCAGTCACCCAGAGGCAGGGACCCAGAAGAAGCCCCAGGAACTGGCCCCAGGAACTAGCACCAACTCCCAGGCACAGCAGGAATAGGAGCCTGAGCACAGAAACCACCCCACCCAGGGACACAGTGGGGTGACCTAGGGCCCCTGCTGTCTGCTCCAGTCCCCTCACTTTCCTTTCCACACACTCTTACTATTTCCCTTTCATTCTGCCCTGTGAGTCCTATGCCGTTTGTGAGATTATTGTTGGCTACCTTTCCCAGACCACCCACAGAAGCCCTCCAGCAACCCACGTCTTTACCTCTGATACCATTCAAAATTTACCCAGAGTTAACCAGCCCAGCGGACAGCCTAAGAAAACACCCCAAATTAACTACAACAGGGCTGCCTTTGTAATTTCTAGTCCACTACACCCAGGAGGAATGGACCAGAACTAGGCAGTTGGAGAAGTAATCATAATGCAATTAATAATATTTTAAAACTCGGACCAAGCAAATATCATGAGGACCAACCCGGCTTTGGGGACACTGAGAGAATGTGTATTTCTGGGTGAGCTCATTCTCTCTATCCAAATGTTATTTTAAGCTTTTATTTCTTGTCACTCTTTATTTCCTGATCTTTTCAGAAGACTGGATTCTAATTATTTCCTTTAAAAACAGGGCCATTTTTAACCCGTGGGCAACTTAACATTTTAGTTCCCAGCCTCTGGTAAACCCTGGTGTGGTCACTCTGAGCTTTACTGTTTTATCTGGAGTGGATTGGATGTTCCTTCCTTCATCAGCTGTGCTAGAGTCTGAAGTAGTCTTGCCTTGCACGAGGCATTTGCTTTCTGTTGCCATGAAGAGAAAATTTGCCAAATAAGCACCAGTTGAAAAGTGCTCTGAGGAGCTCTGGTGCTCATTAAAGTAGAGGATATGTTTGACTCTGATTTGGTTCAACAAGTAAAATTGGTTTTACTGGGTCAATAAAGTGTGAGGGTAAGAAGCATCTGGGAGAGTTTAAGGCTGCTATGAGTGAGGTACATGCAGAGGTAAACGGCAGAGAAGACCATCCAGCTTTTAAGGGCTACCTCAGACAGGCTCTGTGTACATGGTTTCATGGAACCTGGGTAATGACTGGTGCCTTATCTGTTCTAAGCGTGTTCTTGGAAGCAACCAACACAAAGTCCAAAGAATAGTTCCCAAACATCCAAACTCACGTAGACATCCAAGATCTCATTCGTGGGACCTTCGGCCAGAAAGGACTCTCCGGCAGTGCTTGAGATCTCATTGGGACGCTTGTAGGTGAACATGGTCCCTCCACCCTCGTATTTTCCAGGACGATCAATCGCCCAGTTCCCATTGATGATGGAGCGGCCGGAACGACTTCGCAAGGCTATTGAGAGAAAAGAGACGATTCCTGGGTTAAGCCCAGAGGGCACAGAACTGACTCTCCAGGTGGGGGCTTCTTCATTCACCCAGCCAGGGACTCCTGGTAGCCTGTGATGTGCCAGGCACTGAAGGAAACCCTGGCCCACGATGGGGCACCCAGAACCCATCTCCTTGGGCTTCCTCGCTTTCCTCACTCTACCTCTCTGCCATTTGAGCTTAAGAACAGAGATGAAGGATGGGAGTGGTCTGTACAGAAGGATGTGGAAAGTGAAAGGGAAAGAAGAAAAGTGGAGAAAAAATTACAAAGAGGGAGAGGGGAAACATCGATACTACACACATCGTCTAGTCGAGAGGTTGTACGTGGGCTGCCCAGCAGCTAATTCTGGCCACAGACTGGCTTAGTTTGGCTTTTGTAGTGTTTTTTTTTTTTAAATAATTGAACTTAAAGTTAAAAATTGGGGAATTTCATGCAAAAACAATTTAGACTTCTAGCTTTTCTTGGAAAACAGGAAGACATGTTAACGTTGGCTTCTCATTCCCTCCTGGCACCCATCGGCTGGAGCCTAACAGAACTGCCTCTTCCTGGGGTGCTGTGGGCTCTCATTTACCTCTACCCCTACCACCTCTATTGCTCCCCACATTGAGCCGAGCCTCAGTTCATGGATACAGAACGCTTAGATCACTTATTACCATGCTCACATTTTTTCCTTATGAAACTGAATTTTTCTTATAATTCTTCTTGTATGTCCACTCAAAGCAAATCTAAAGATAGACCAAGACAGTCAGTTACATGCCTTTCTTCTACACCTGACCAGCCCCATTCATTTCTGATCCTTCCTGGCTTTTGTGGGCATTGGGGTCTGTGGGCTGCATTAGATATCTCACCTCCACCCCCGTCAAAAGCATTCCCACAGCACTGCTAAGCAAATGTCATCACTTCATTGCCAGAGATTGGTTCAGAGGGGACAGGTTCAAGTTTACAAGGATCATAAAGCACAGATCTGCGCTTTGGAAGCCATACCCAGAAGGAAGAAGGGGAAGGAGAAAAATACAGAACAAGGCATTTGGGTTAGCGGAGAAGAAAGGGGGGCTTCTGAAGGTAGAATGTCTACAGTGATGCTGACATTTGGAACCCACAAGCCAATGGTGGCTCGAGCTTAGAGAAGGTCCTATCTTTAATGCCGTGTTGGATATTATGGACCCGTGGACTACAGAAGCCACTGGCTCTTTATACCTTTCTCACTTAACAGAATGCATACATTTAACATTAATCATTTATTATGGAAAAATTTATTCATACACAAAAGTAGGGAGAACACACACTAGACCCCCATAGAGCATCACCCAGCTTCAACAAAGATCAGTTCGTGGTTTATGGTTCACTTTGCAAATCCCAGATCCCATTTCTCCTTAAAGTTTTCAGGAAGCATCACAAAAATATTCTCTTTTTTCTTAAACCTATTTGCAGCAATATTTTTTGATGAGCCTTCCCGAAGACCTGGCCAGGAGAGTGAGGAGCTTCATAAAGAGGCAGGAGCATCTCCAAGGGGTTTTTTCCTGTGTATTCCACCCTGGCTGCCTTGTTACCATGGCACTGGGAGTCCATAGTTGGGACTTGTCAGTCCTAAGTTATAAAATTGGTATCAACTTACTGAGCAGCAAAGAAAGAATCAAGTTGGGAAGAATAGTCTTTGGGCTGGGTTTACTTTAAAAAAAAATTAAGAACCATATTTCTTGAGAGTAGTCAAGTGTTTCCTTACTTCCCATTAATTTCTTAGCTGTGTCCAATCTGACTCAGGCTCCACTGAAGATATTCAAACAAAGCAGGGGATACTGGGAGGCTGAAGCAGGAGGATAGCAACTTCAAGCTTAACCTAGGCAACTTAGTGGCTTTGCAAGACAATGTTTTCAAAATAAAAAATTAACAAATAGGCTGAAGATGTAGCTCAGTGTGTAGATGCTGAGTTCAATGCCGAGTCCCTAGTATGATGAAAACAAAACCACCCCTCTCCTAAATCAAGTTAATGTCACTAAGACCCCCAGTTGCTAACTCCCATGATCATTTCCCAGGCCTTCTCCTACTGGAGGGATCAGTAGCACTGGATTCTACTTGCTTCTTGAACCCTCTCACTCAGCCTGTTCCCTTTTAGTTCTCAGCCTGTTATCTGTTTTCTGTCCTACTTTATCTTTCTCCAGTGGTCATTAAATGTTATCCTTTCTTGAGGATAAGTGTATACCTGCTGTGGGCTCTCTATTCCTTTCATGAGCAATTTCATTTGCCATTAATGTATGCTACTGATTTCTTGATTTATTTCCAGACTTGCGTCTGGCCCCAGACTTTGATATCTAGTTGCTTGCTTGATTGGCTTCACTTGTATGTCTCCTTTAACATGAACTCATCGGATCTTCTTGTAGTATTTCTTATCTCAGTAAAGGATACCCTCCTCCATCTAATCAGAAACCTGGGAGTCATCCTAGACACCCACTCCCTTCCTTCCCCCCTGTACCTGACCCATCATCAAATTTTACTTAACCTCCTCCATATTTATTGAACCTATCTGCTATTCCTCAGCTTCTTTGCTCGGGTCAAGTTCCCATCAGCTCTCATCTGGACTAGCTCAAGGACCCTCTCTGGTTCCCCTTCTTCTTTTTTTCCTTTCACACAGAACATGTTTTTCACAATGCACTCAACACTCCCTCAAACACTCAAACACTCCCTGTGGTTTTTAATTGCTCAGGAATAAAATAGTCTCAACACTTGATGGACCTGGGTGATATGGCCCTGTGTTATCTGGGCCAGTACCTCTCTCCTCTCTGTGCTCTCCTCCTCCAAATGCAGTTTCTTCTTCCATAAATGCCCTTCTCAACTTTGCATCCTGTCCATCCCAGGATGGTGGCTTCTCTGGGCAAGCCTTCTCCCGCCTGGTCCAGCCTGCCTCTTCCCTCATGTGCTCTACAAGACACGGGGTTTTCTTTTGGGCTGTAATCTGTTTGTTCATATACCTATCTGGATAATTATTTGATTCATGTTTGACTCTAGTTCGCTGTAAGGGCAGAGATAGTCGTGCTTATTCACTATTAGAGCTCTCGGGCCAGCTAGGTACTCCCCATAGAGCAAGCACTAGGGATACATTAGTTGAATGCAAGTATACTTGGAGAAAAAGGCAAAGAGCTCAAAATAAAGACAGGCAAAGAATGATAAATAGGCACTTCATGGAAAACCAAGCACAAGTATTCCATAAGCAAATGAAGACATGCTCTGTCTTACTTATATTTTAAGAAATGCAAATCAAAACCACCATGAGATATTTTTGACCCACCAGACTGACAAACATTTTAAAAAATGTAATGTTGTCAGTGTTGCCAGGTGTGTAAGCAAGCAACAGCCTGCAACATAGCTGGTCAGAATGTAAACTGACCCAGCCACACTGGAGGGCAAACCGGTTACACTGGTAAAACTTTAAATGCTCGTGCACTTGGACCTATGAATTCAATTTCCAGGAATCTACTTAAGCGGCATTCTTCCCTAAGTATATAAAAGTGCTTGTAATGAAATATCTTTTTTCTTCAAGCTGGTAATTGAACCCTGGGCCTTGGAAAACCTAGTTCATGCTCTGCCACCGAGCTACACCCTCAGCTCCCAGATGATTTTTTTTTAAAAAAGAGAAAAACCAAAATCAACCCACATGCCCACCAGCAAAGGGCTGCTCAAGTGATTTGCAACACTGGACAATGGAAGACCAAGGGCCCTGCAAGCAATGAGAGGGGCCTGGGTATGTGGTGTGGACAGAACTCCAGGAGACATTTTTAAAGGAAAACAGAAAGGCAGAATAGTGTGTTTGGTATCATCTCACTTGTGTATTTTTAAGTACAAAACTGTTTAGAAAAGCAGTCACAAAAGTTAAAATTTGGGAAAGGAACTGGGACTTAGGTTGGGTAGGAGATAAGAAGGGAGATTTATTTCCTACTTTATCTTATTACCATTTAAAATTGTCTTACCAAATGGGTGGATTATCTTCACTAAAGCTTAACTAGTTTTAATTGTATAAAGAACACGGTACAAGATAAAACAGTACTGCAGGGAACAGTCATTTCCTCTTTTACTTGGCTTCTCCTTAAAATCCCATTCACAGCATCAAAAGCTCAGAAGTGAGGTAGTTTCTTCCAGAATTTTATTGTTGGGAATGGTAATACTGTAGAAGCAGTTATTACCTGGAAACTGAAAAGCCCATTAAAGAACCATTTGAAATACTATGCAGGATAAAACTGCAAGGGCTGCCCTGGCAATAAAAAAAGGGGACTTGGAACCCTTTTCACTCTGTCTGCTGTTCCTCCCATACCTTCTCTACAGGTTTGCACGAATCTTTAACCATAACACAGTGTTTTTAAAAAGTCAGATCTTTAGCAAAATGGGTCTAATTTCATATGGCCATGGGTGGCTCTGAAACAGCCCCACCTAGCCTTACATTCAGAAAACAGCTGCTTCTGCCCCTGACATGTCTGCAGCAGTTTCAGGGTTAGTGATCGCATCCAGGACCATTTTGCCAAAGGTACAGGTGGCGTGTAGCTTTAGCTAGGGTCTGTGTCCAGTGAAGAACAAGTTTTGGCACAGTCTGCTTGGAAGGCAACTTTTGAGTTATGTCACTATGAGAAAATTTGGTTTATTCCAGTTTTCGGTAACCAGTTCGCCCAAACTGTTTGTACCAACAGTGTTTGTCTCTAAGATTCATGTGAGAATAGCTTATATGAGGTGTGATTTAAACATAGTGAATTTAAATTTTTAAAAAAACTGCTTTACAGTACAAGACACATGCCCATTAGTTCCCCAGTTAATATTCAGTACTTCGGTGAATGTGCCTTTCACTCACAACGCACGCACAGCAGCCCTGCTTCTCACACTTTGCTGAAGCAGTCTTAGAAGTCCTCTTTTCCGTGTCTTTCATTATGCTACGATGGCTCGATGTTCTGAACTGATTCAAAATGTTTTCATGGTCATTCTGACTT